GCAGCAAGACCAGCAAGAGAATGATGAATCCACACATGCCAATCAGTCCCCAGCGTGGCCTGTAGGCATAGGTTGGTTGCTCAACCTTTGAATAGCTGCCAGTGCCTGGGTTTACCTCTACCAGGCGGCTCTCAATGTGACCTTGACCAGGTCCGGTATAGGTAATGGCCTCCGTGTTGCCCTCCTGGTACCGCTGGTAGAAGAGTCCGAAGAGGTAATCGCCAAAGCCACCGCCGCCGCCAACTGCGCCACCGGCCGCACCGCCGCCTGCTGCACCACCGCCCACTGCGGCGTATCCAGGCCCAGCAACGATCACCATGGTTTTAACCGCAAACAGCGCAAACAAAGCACAGAGTCCTGGAGCAAAAATGGCTACCCAACTACCTGCTGATAGTTGACCTTTCCTGCAAACGAACTGATTACTGTGTAACTACAGCAGGGGGATGGAAAAGGTTCGACTTTGAAACTTGCTTGAATGTCTGAAGATTCCAGAGATCTAAATGCCGTTCTTTTCTTCCCTTTTCCAAAACGAATCGAACCGGACTCCCGGTTCTTTTCGCCGCTGCCCATGCCTTGGAGGGTCGATGACGCCTCGGGCATGCTGTCTCCGTCGAGGACCGAGGACCGCGAGGAGCGGAGGTCTCCATTGGGACAAGGACGCTTCGACGTTTTACCAAAAACAAGTCGATTCGAGTGTTTCTTTTTTGCATATGATCGACGTGACGGTGTTTTCCTTCAGGAACTCATGGAACTCACCAGTTCGGCGTCTTTTCTGACGGCGCGGGCGTAACTCCCGGACAACGGCATGAGCGACGGCACGTGAAGAAGCGGGAAGGGACTCGCCGTTTTGGCCGTTCGGAAAGATCAAAAGATGTTGGAATCACTCACCAAGGCACTATCGAGCAACAAATCTGTGGTCATTCCATGATTTTCCAACAATTGAAAAACCAAAGCATTTTAAAAAATGATTAGATGTTATAATCTCTCACTGTGTTCTTAAGACTCTTGCAATGAAAATGACCGCCAAAACCGAGCCCTTCACCAGCTCCTTCTGAGCTGCATCCATCTTTGCTCCAATTTGTTCCCAACCAGTCTGACAGGCTTGAAGCGAAGACGGCATCATATCTCACGTAACTATCAATGAACCAGGACTTTCTCTTTCACTGCACGCCACCGTAATACGAATGGAAGGCACGCGGTTTGTGGGTGGTATTCCACGAGTTGAATTGCTTGAAAGCCTGGACTTTCTCACACCCAGATTCATAGATGCCTGCACTCAACTCGTTTTGGTGGTTTGTCCGAACACGAGAGCGCCACAGGGTTCCATGTTCAAACCCTTCGCCCTTTGTGATGACTTTAGCATACTTCACGACTGCCCCTGCCATCAAATCCTTCCGTCCTGTACTTTCCTCAACGCAACCTGCGGGATGCGACTGGGACGTCGCAGCTTGGCGCTGGGAAGAAGACATGTTTTTTCTCAAAAAAGGTTACCTGCCAGGCACTTCTTAAACAAATTGTTCTGAACAAAAACAGAAGAGCCTTCAGAAAGAAATCAACTACCAGGGGTGAGGTACAAGATGGTACAAGAGGGAAAGTTCCCCACAACACACGCAAATATAAGATAACCAATATATCCTCCTGGACCTTCCAACTACCAAAAACATCTGGTCGTTTTGGTTTGATCGTTTGGGTCGTTTTGTTTGTTTTGCGCTATTTTGCCGATTCTTGTGGTCGTTTGCTGGTTTTTTGCGTGCGTTTTGCGCTAATTTGCGGTCGTTTTGTCGGTTGCGCTGATTTGCGGGCGTTTGCGCGGAAAACCGGGTCAACCAAAACTAACAGAATTTGTTGGTCGTTGGAAGATCCAGGCTATCCTAACCGTGGTCGTTCCGAGTGCTTCCCGAACAGATGGATTTGACCGAAGATCATGTCTGGTGGAAGGCCCTGAAGAATCCTGAAGATCCGGTCGAACGAGTTCGAGATCAGGTCAGATCAATCAAATGGACATTCAATTCATCATGAAAAACCCCGAGGGTCATATGTTCGGAGGGTCAGAATGGGTCAGAATGGGTCATCAAATCAGCAACATGCGTCAGATCAACGTCAATCTGACAACGGCACGCCGCCGATTCCGCCCCACCGCCCTCTCCCGTACCTTCGTCCGTGCGATCGGTGGCTGCGCTCCACTGGTCTTCGGCGTCGACGGCGTCGTCTTCGACGGCTTCTTCACTGGTCTTTTAGGGCCTTCCTGGTGGACTCTGAGAACAGAGTTTTGGGATGCGACAGGGACCAGGATTTCATTCGGTGTTCGTTCTGGTACGATATTTCTTTCAGAAGCTGAATCATGGCTATATTTTATGCATGCATGTGCATGATTCACTCGGATTCACAGTGGTTTATACAACCAAATGTCACAACCCGGTGGCGCTCTTTGTGACGCGGGTGCGGCTTCGGCAAAATGCTTTGGTTTCCCCGAAGTGATCGTCCTTCGGTCCTTCCACATAAAGGTGCATGGCTGAGCCGCATTTTGAACGGATCGGCCTATGTTCTCTTAGGATCTCTTAGGATGTTTGGGTATGTTTGGGACATCATCCGTGCTTTACCACTGGGATTACTTGAGCATTTTATGGGGAAATGGTGTCAAACGATCGTCGTTTTATGGATCAAGCAGGCGCAGCGATGGACGTCGATCGCATGCACCTGGCTTTCGTCTGCTTTGGTAGGCCGGCTAGTGATGTTTTCTTTGGTGTTTCGATCCGTTTCCACCATTAAAATTCAGCCTGTTTCCTTCAGCGATCGATTTTTGGCACCCTTTTTGAGGGCACATTGACACGGGGGGTGTGGGGTTGAGTATACCTATCTATACCAGGGAATCCAAATGTGCATTTTTTTTTGTTCAAACACGTTCGCACAAAAAATCTGTGCATCCGGCCTTTTTTGTCAAATGGACAAATTTTCTGGAATTCCTCCGAATATTGGGTTTGATTGGGTTTTATCAATATAATTGTTTGGGTTTTTGTCGATAAAATGTTGATAAAGTTTTGGTTTTATATGGGTACGCTTTTGTACGGTATTGTTTTTCTGTCCATACGGCTAAATACGCTAATTCGTTAATTAAAATGTCCATACGATAAATTCTGTCCAAATACGGCCTTCGCACAAAAAAAAGTGTTCATACGCCTTTCCAGGTACTATCTATACTATCTCTCTCTCTCTCTCCTTAGTATTCCAACCTGTTCCAACACACCAAAGGAACCTGGACACCGATTCTGCAGCCCCTCCTGTGCGCCACTGGGCGACTCATTCTGCTCGCGCTGAGCTTGGCCTCACGACAGCTTGGCGCTGAAAGGAAGAACACATCTTGGTAGAGAAGAAAGAATCTTATGAACATCCATGAACCCTTCACCTCCTTCCATGATTTAATACGTATAGGTCTTCCATCCATCAAACTTGCCTATAGCTGTACCATGCGCATGACCTCCCTCCATGGCTCCACATGGAGATCCACCGTACCGATCCACCCTTTCGGTTCCCGCTCGGTTCCCCTTCGCTCCGCATGAAGCTCGGGTGCATCGGAGATGCATTTGCACATGCCCAGTCGGGATCCAGTCGCACCTTCTCAGGTTCGGTGGGACTGGGGTGGGTTCCAGGAGGGTCCAGGTGCCGTACCTGAGGTTCGGTACGACTGGATCCCGACTGGGCATAGAAATGGGTACGAGTACCATGTGTAGCTCCAATGACCGACCCAAGTCACCAAGAACTCCACCCGGGCTCAGCATTCGCTTTCAAGGAAAAAGGGTGCTTCCGTGTAGCTCCTATACGGAGACCGGCCTGTAGGTTTGGAGCTTCAATGGAACCCGGGCTAACCCGGGGTGGCCAGGGAGTCGAAGGAGTTCTTCCTATTGAAATACACAACCCAAATGCTCTTGTCTCGTCCAAGCGACTGATGCTTGCATCCAGTCGAGCCCAAAAACCAGCCTGCACTTGGACGTGACTTGCTCTGAGAAGCGGGCGGAAGCGGGGCTCGTCTCATTCTTCACGGTGCAATTTGAACACTGACATGAACTGACCCTGCCTCTCCGAAGCTATTTGCCTTAACTGAATCATCGGAATCGTACTTTGAACAAGAACATGTCATGGTTCAGCTACTTCCCTAAGATGGAGCAAGCAAAAGCCGGAAGCACATGCAGCTGATTGCTCCTTGGAACCTTGCCCCCCAAAAAGGGGGAGCCTCTCTACTTACTTCGTGACCAGCATCTCTTCGAGTCGAAAAGGTCCTAGTAGCTTCTTGATTCATTAATTCTAATTCTATTGAATTCTTGTTTCTAGCTTCTTGTTCCTAGTGGTAAGGCCAGGAGCCCCTCCTAGTAGTAAGGCCAGGAGCCTCTCATTTGCTCAGCACTGCTCCGATCTCCGAGCCGCCGGGCGCCACTGGGCTTTTGTTCGGCCTCCAAGCGGCGCCGCTTCAGTTGCCTGCACGCCGCTTGTTGCCGCTTGTTGCCGCTTGTTGTGGAGCGAAGTCGAAGTAGATAGAAAAAGGGAGTCTCTGAAAAGCTGAGACGTGTAATGAAGTATAGTACAACTATTTAGGATGGACTTTCTTCCCAAAAAAAAGAGTATATAGGACAAATAAGCTATAGAACAAAAACACACATAATCTATAGAGAAATCATGATGATTGAGATGTAATGGACAAATCCAGGGGATTGAACTCAGGGGCGAACCATGCTGCCGAGTAAAACCCCAAAGCAAAGACCCTTCACAGTGCAGGAAGATTTCATCTCCAGATGTTGCAGGACAGGTTGAGTCACAAGATCTATCACGTTCAATCTTATCTGTCAGGTTTAATCCCTTTTAATCCATTTGATCATCTCTCTCCTAATTCATCTCCTCACCATCTGCCACTCTCACAAGTCTCACACTTCAGTTTTGTCCACCTCTTCCTCACAAGTCATCTCTCTCCCACTCCCGCCAACTCCCGAACCGCGCCATGCGTGCGACGTCGCCAAACCGTCGCCAACCGCGCGTCGCTCACGACGTCGTCGCGCCTCAGGTATCCTTCGAAACCGGGATCTCGACTGCCCCGGTTCGCCGCACCGGCATCACCGGCCTCGGACCGTCCGACCCGGCGTTTGTTTCGGCGCAACGTCCAGGAGTGGTCAACGATCGGCGCGGGGGGGGCCTTGGCAGTTGGATGGTGGCCCAGCCCCACTGGGACTGTGGGATTGGACCGGGCTTTCTTTGAAGTGTGCATCCAGATGGTTTTCGAGGAAGATCCAGGAAGCATGCATCATATCAGATCTGCATGCAGTGTCTGTTCATTGAACTTGTTTTGTTCACAGCTCTTACTGGTTTCTGGGCATGTCACACCTGTCGTCGGCACAGCTTCTCCACCTTCCACCTCCTTCATGCTATGTGACTGCCAGGTTGAATCTGGAAAACGCCAACAGGTTGCCAACAGGCTCCAACGGTTCACACCCGCCATGCTCCAATCGCGGCATATATTGGGTTTCACCCAGGGGCCCTTGGTTGATTGAACCTTCAAACATCAAAACAATTCAAAACAGAAACACCATACTATAAGGTAATATAGTAATATAATGATCATGAATGGTATAGTGCTGTCCCTCCAACAACTACAACACCGCTCATACCGACTCATACCTCTATAATTCATTCATGATAATTTAAATTTAGTTTAGTAAAACTTTTGCATCGCCTCCTGCCCCCCCCCCCGGCGACCAAAAAAACACACACACACATCACCCTTGGGAGGCTTAAGTGACCTCAAACCATGGTTATCAAAAGGTCACTTTGAAGAACCAGGTACCTATCCAACCCCTCCCAACCAACCGCACCTGGCTCTTGGCTTTGGAGCCTGGCTCCGAGTCTTTCGATCGTGCCGCGACTTGTTCACGCAACGTTCCGACCGCGCCGGAGCCTTTCGGTGAACTCGTCGCGTGCGCCATGAGAGTCGCGCGACGCCGGGCAGGCCGTTTACACCAGTGTCCTAACTGATGAACATCCAAACTGATAACGACAAATTAGGTCCAACCTCACAATTCCCAACGGTTCCAAACCACCCCTTTCACCCCTTTCGTCCAAAATCGATGCAGTTCTGAGATCCGAAGCCTTCCCAACAAGTCGTCCCTTTAGATAATCCCTGGTACGCCTGCCGAGTTGCGGGGTTGCCGATATCTGATGATCTAAGTTGAGAAAAATGGCTGCAGGATGCTGCAGGTCTCGATCGACATCACTTCCGGCATCACTCCGCCTACGTGTTCTTTGCTATCATATGCACGGTATACTTCTGGGGAAGTGGCGTATCGCTCCCCACATGTTTGCCATGGCTCACATGACTCACATGAACAGCTTTACATAAGCTGTTTTCAAGATTGCACACATGGCACGGGTAAAATGCAGAAAGTCGGTAAACTGCTGGTCTTAGGGCACCTTACTGCTGTATAGTGCCTTGCGAACCTCATGTTTGTGCACAACCCTTGAGGTTCAAAACAATCTGACAGGAGCATAATCTGCAATCTGCTGTGCGGTCGCGTCTTTTCGCAACTTGAACACTGCTGTGCGGTCGTTTTCTCCTCTTCTTTCAGCGGCTTTGGCTGAACATCCGGCTTGAAGGCGCCTGAACATCCTGCATCCACGAAAACAAATCCATCGTGATTTGTACAAAGCAAGAGCAAAGCTCCGCTTCCAACCGGCTCCGCCTCAGGAAAGCTTCGAAAAACCGTCTCCCCCTTCCTGGAGCTGAATGGAATGCAAGCCTGAGAGCGAAAGGAAGGGGCAGAAGGTTGAGACCTTCTGGTGCCTGTGTTTTGTTATTAATGAAAGGATTATAAGATGTTATAAGGATATGCATGGATATGCAATGGTGTGTATTTTCTCACTTTCAGATCTTTGTGTTGTGAATACTTCCTCAAGAAACACTCACACTCGTCTCGCCCACTTGGCCAAAACTGAAGCGCCCCCACGGCATGCCAGGACCGGAGGGAGCCGGTCCCACGAGCGCGACGACCTGAGCTCGTCCGGTGAGCTCGGTCCGAAGCGCCGCGACCCGCGCTCGGCGCTGGTCTCTGGGCGGTCTACGTGGCGATGAAGAGGAGTCTGGAGGAGCAGAATTGATCCAACCTCGGTGGAAGCTGTGAGGTGCACCTGCGCATAAAGATGATATAGTAGTATAGGGACCCCAAACAGACATCATTGGACAAGCAAGCCACTGCGTGACCTGGATTTTTCGGGATGTCCATCAAGTTCCCTTCTTTTGCAGAAAAGCCGTGACCGCTGTGAACGTCAGTGAGTTCACAAGTCCGCTGCATGTGAACGAGCTCCGCCAGGAGATCGGAGATTCCATGGTTCCAGCAGTCTTTGTCCTCTCATTTTAGGAACTGCATCAGCCTATTTGTCTGTTGACAGGTCAGGGCTATTTCCAACATCCTCAGAGCTATTCCTAAAATTCTGAGGGCTATTTAAAAAAGAACTGGTGAGCCACTCTAAAAACCTGCAGTCACTCCCTATGTCGTATCACTTTCCTTGCGCGAGGCCTTACGCGCTGCTTACGCGGCCCTCACTTTTGCTTACGCAAAGCAAACTTCCGAAATGCTTACGCGAAATGCTTACGCAGTCTTACGCAACCCAGGGTTTTGCTTACGCGGAATTCGATATGACAAGGTCCTTACTTAAGATGTAAAGGCAGGTTTTTAGAGCCTCTCTGGTGAATTTGACTGTGCAAATGTCCTGTTGGCATTGTATGATTCTCATGTCTGGATTCCACTCTCAGATGCTCTTCCTGGGACAAGTCTTTGTTGAGTACTCGTTGGCTGAGAGTCTTAAAACTAGCCTGGTGTGGAAACAAATGTTCCCGTTTCCACTCATCCCACACCCCAGTCCATCCTATCAGTCACACGCCTCACATTGCAGCAAAGTGCTTTGTTTTTTCACTCAGGGTTTACTGTAGCACCAGTACTGTTCTGGAGCCTTCTTCTGAGCAACCGTTATTATAGACTATCACTATAGTTCTGGTAAACAATGAAGCTTTTGATTTGGTAAACTTAAACAGAAACAGTTGCAAATACATCAAAAATTAAAGTTCTAGAAAAATCATGAAACATTCTATGAACATCTGAAATAGTTCTGCCAGGACCTTCCAACAGGTGGTTTTTGGCCACCTCTTAACCTCTAAGATGCTATTTATAGACACCTCTTGGAAGGTCCTGGTGGACAAATATGAAATAGTCCTGGAAGAATATGAAATGGTCCTGGAAAAGACACAGAAAGCCCCAACAAATAGGCCACAGCAGGTTGTAACTCTCATTTATCAAAAAAATATTCGACCAGCGGTCTTTCTTAAAGTCTTAAATCACACACCCAATCGAACACCCAGCAAATATTCGCCTCTTCTCCTGTCCGTCCAGCAAAACGGTCGCGGGACTTCGGGGGGTTCATGACGTTTGGTCCTCGTTGCCAAAGAGCTCATCCACATCATCCTGAAGGAGAGCAGGCACGAAGGTGCTCGTCCATTGCGTCTCATGTCTCATGACTGACTGAGGTATTCTTCCGGTCTACTCAGTTCCACTCCAAAGTGATACAGGAAGGTTGATGCAAATGAGCTCGTTCGAAGTGCCTCACATCAGCTGAGATGAGGTGATGTGCCACTTGCCAGTAGCGATCAGCATAGCAATTAGCCTAGCGATCAGCTGAGATCCCCACTTTCTTACGGCGGCGTGAGTGTCTCCGATGCCAGCATTGATCAATGCCGGAACAAACATGGGGAGCACCTTCACATGATCAAGAATCGAAAGACTCACATGAGGCTTCACACATTATGGCTTCTCATGAGGCTTTTCCAACCTTGCCCCTATATGCTTTGCTGACAGCAAGACTTTTCAGATCAAAGTACACAATGAGTGGGCTTCTCCTAAATTTTACATACACATCCTTACACACCCATTCTGGAATACACATGACATCACATGATCTTCCATTCCACCGCCGTTCACGTTTTGCCGCCTTCATCGGCAACGACTTCAGGGCGGCCAGGAACGTGCTCTTGCCCGAGCCGCGGGGGCCTCGGTGGACGTCCCACCGTGGCGGATGGCGGAGCCATGTTATGCCATGAATGGACGGACAAGAGTTGACATCGAGAACGCCTGAAACATATGCAAACGAGTGAAGAAGTAAACAGCTTAACATAAGCCAAAAAGTCTGACTCAGGACTCGGGACTCTTAAGACAAAACGCACCCATGTTCAATTCGACTTTGGCTTTCACTTCGCCACTTCCGTGTCACACCGGCCGTTCACTGATCCACCGAGTCAGCCACCGACGATCACGACGCAGCAGGGAGTTCCGTGACCTTGAGAAATCCCGACTTCCCTTCAGAATGGAAGACATCCCTTAAGAAAGCTATGTCTTAACGAAAGAAGCAGGGGCGCTCCGTGTTGTGTGTTGTGGGTGAACTTGCACGGTGTTTGGTTTCACCACCTGCCCATCTACAGTATCAACAGTAATTAGGTCAGTCTTCAGCTTCATCACCTTGAGGCCATCGCTCCCCTTCGCCGTCTGCAGGAGCCATTCCTGCTCAGCTCTGTAGTAAGGCTTTTCAAAAAGAGGAGAACCCGTCGCCTCCCGTCCAATGTGTTCAACCGGTGCCTTCGCAGGGCTCGGCGCGAGGTGCTCCAACCCAGTCTGCAGTCGTGGCGGGGGTACACAATCGACGCGTCCGCGGTCGCTGTACGTCGGCGAATGGAGGGGTTCTGCGTTTTTGAGCGCCTTCGTGGAACTGGATGGGTTGGATAGGTAGCTTGAAGGCCTCAAGGTTCCAGCTCCTCTTATTCTGATTCTGCATGAGAAAGCAATGGGGTTCAAAACTCAAAACAGCCAAAAGAAATGCTCAGTACTCACAGTACTCAATACATCTCAATACTATTCAATACTCAATGCATCTCAACGCTCAATACATTACTTACGGCCTTTCGGCCTTTCAAATCTGTACAACATCCCCGCGCTGCACCGCACGCCGCGCCGGCGCCGCTTGGAATCTCTGAGCTTGGAACGACGGTAACGGTACACTCGCCTCAGGTTTGGCGGCAGGAGATAGACTCTGATGGATGAATGTGGCATGAATGAATTGAATGTAAAAACAAACAAACAAACAAACAAACAAGCAAGCAAGCAAGCAAAGGAGCAAAGATCCATATCTATGATGTTGATGCAGTTTTGCACAAGGTCTTCTATTCCATTGAAGATTGCTAGACGGCTAAACAAGAGTTCCAAGGCTTTCTTCCACGCGTACTCTCAACTCTCAAACTTGCCTGGGACTCTGACGGTACTCAACTCATGTTCCAAAGGCACAACCTCTTGAAATGCCTCGAGCACTCGCATTGCCCAAGGCCCGCCGGCTGCGAAACACCGGGCTTCGAACGTGCCATCGGTTCCGGGTCGGTGTCCGCACCACAATGGAATCCGTAGCCCGTGGAAACTGTCAAAGCTGGTGACTCTTCTTAAGCTCCAATACCCTTCAATTGATACAACGAGTTGCATGGCATGGCATCTGATCTTTTCACGTTTCATGTCGATGAACCATCTTGGGGCTGTACCAAGCCGCTGCCCTGCTTTGAGACCAACGCTTCAAGGGTAAGAACGTCCGGAACTGCCCACACTACCTGGAAACTTCCTTTGATTCTGTCCCATTCAGCTTGTACAAGTGACGAAATGTATGATATTGAAACATGGCACTCCAAAACATCATGCAAGTCATTGGGACCTCAACTTGGGTCGGTATACCCACTCCAGCACGCACACGAGCGCACACACGCCCTGGATGCATGTTTCTCCGTTTGACCCAACAATTGAGCCTTGATTAACATTAACTTCGACTTCCTCCCAAACTGATCTCAATCTATAGGGTCTGGAAACCTGAGGTTCAGGTCGGTCTTTGAAATCTCGTTCATGTCAAAACATCCAAGAGAAAGATGGACACAGCGGTACCCTGCAAGTGCCATCCGAGGTACGCTCCGCCAAGCGGACAGCACTGGTTGAGCTGACAGCACCGAGACAAAGGTCAAGCGTCCTGGTCGAGCCCAGGAGGGTGCGGGGCCCGGGGGTGGCCAAACACAGGGTGGAAACCAACAAGGCGAACGAGAAGGGGTCGCAGGTCGCAGTCTTCATCGTTTTTGTCTGTTTTGCTTTCGCGAGTTTGGAGGCGAAACAAGCCAAGGGATATTTTCTAGTTCAGTTCAGGCTGGCAAAAACAGGGGTGAACACCAGGAAGACTCGGCTTTTTCATCCATCCGCTTGCCCCGTGCGATCTTTAAGACAACCCCCTCCGCACCGGTCGCCCCGTGATCGCCCCGTGACTGTCGCCTGCTTCGGACCTCGACCATTCACCTCGGCCATTGACCCGCTTCGGAAAGAGGCCAAAAAGCTGCCCAGGCCATTGACCCGTTCAGAAGGGTCGCCCCTGGCCATTGACCCGTTCAGAAGGTCGATGTGCGACAAACAGTATCACACACCCCAAAAACACACCTCAATCACACACCAAAAACACACCCCAGCCTGTTTTAATCCAAGATACATCCGTGGGATTCACTCCCCAAATCTTTCACCAGATGCCCCGACGCCTACGTCGAGCTGCGACGCTCTCCGCGCCCGGAAAATAGCTCCGCTTCCGGCACACGGACCTCTTCGAGGCGTGAAGCGGACGGATCATTCGAACACCGGAAGACGCCGGGGACGTCGAAGACGCCGGGGACGGCGGAGTGCAGTACAAATACTGCAAAACAAAGTAATGTAGTATACATAAGATATCTAGTAAGCTGAAGCTAAGCTGAAGCTGAAGCTAAGCTGAAGTGCCATCATCTGAGCCAAATTCGAGGAACGTCAATGTGGAAACAACTTGTCACATTGTTCCGATTCCGAATTGGGAGTGAACCAGTGTCTCAACCAGCTAGTCTTACTCTTGTGCTCCAACGAATGGCTGGGAAAAATGCTCCAGGTTGGAGCTTGGAAAGCGAAGCCCTCAGAGTGTGGGCCTAGTGCACGACATGGTGGACATGGTGCACATGGCCACCACTGGACCAGCTGCCACCACTGGACCAGCTGTGGCCGCCTGCCGCACCAGCAGCACCACCAGCCGCGCCGCCAGCTGCGCCACCGGCTGCACCGGAGACATAGTGGTGGGTGACAACAACATGAGTGTGTCCACCAGCACCGGCACCATGGTACACATAGCCAGGGCAGCCAAGCTGTTCGTGGCCGCAGCACCAAGACTTCTTGGGGCCAGACCAGCCGTGCTCCCATCCAGACAGGCCTGCATGGCAATCATATGGCTTCTGCACAGAAACAGCGCCATGTGCCATGTGGGCCTCCCAAGTCCACTGGCCACTGATCATGACCTTCTTCCAGACCTTGCCAGCACCAGCGTCGCAGTTGGGTGGTGTATCTGGAGACTGGCAGCCTTCGCCCTTCTCCTTGCAGCACCAAACCTTCTTGGAAGGAGACCAGGCACGGCACCAATTGCCCAAGGCAGCATAGCAATCGAAGGCCGCTTTGCCAGGTCCTTGCTCGCCACACCCTGCGGCCTGGATAGTGCACGCACGGCACACATCGCACTCCACCTGAGGAGGATGCTCAAAGACCCAAACAGTTGTGGCTTCTTGGACTAACAAATTGCCTGAAGTAGAAAGTGTGACGTGGGCTTACCAAAAAGCAAGAAACCCTCAACAACGTCCCACCTGAATCTTGCTGTAGGCCAAATTGCAAGCGTTGCTCTTTGAGCCAAAGACATTCTCCTGCGTCCAATCAATGCGCTGCTTGCAAGTAGAAGTCTCTCCGTTCAAAGTGCACTGCGCATCACAGCCAAGTGGGGACAGGGTGGTGTGAGGGCAGCCCAACTGGAAGTTCTTGCAGCAGAAGTCTCGCTGATCAGAGGACCAAGCATTCACATCTCCATGCTCTCCATGGCAATGGAACTTGACGCAGTACTGGCTGTGACCATTGCTGCAGCACCAGTCCTTCTTCTTTGTCGACCATCCCTGAATCCAGTTGGAGGCGCCTGCGTTGCAATCGTAGCCGCCTTTGCCCACTCCATGCACATGCTGCACATGAACGACGGCATGAGCGTGCCAGTGTCCATGCCACGTGCCAGGGCAGCCCATCTGCTTGTGGGAGCAGCACCAGTCTTTCTTTGGACTTGACCACCCGTGGTACCAATTGGAGAAGCCTGCATGGCAGTCATAACTGTGGATCACATGGACGGTCTTGACCCAGTGTCCAGGGCACCCGACATTTTGGTGAGAGCAGCACCAGCTCTGCTTGGCATGAGACCAAAGGCTCTTCCAATGATCGAAGCCGCTGTTGCAGTCATAGTCCGAATCAACCACAGTATTCCATTGAGTGTGGTAGCGTGTCACCACATGAGGTGGCGAAGGCACTGGCACTTTCACATAGTGATCCGGGCCCTTGATGTGCACCGGATATGGCTTCTTGACATTGATGATTTGTGGGGGCTCCCTCACTGGGTAGGGGACCTTCTCGTTCACCACCACCGGCTTCACAACCGTTGGGCCCGGCATCTGCACATGAACATACTGAGGAGGGCTTGGCACATGGTAGGTGTGGTGGATAGTGTGGACAATTGGAGCATGGGTCGGCATGGGCTCGGGCACTGGTACCTTCACTTGCTGGACCTTGGTCACCGTGTGGTAATAGTCTTTGTCAACCACAAGATGTGGGCAATACATCTTGTACTTGTAGCAGCACCAGCGTGTGTGTTGCTCCGACCAAGTTGGGTCAGGCTGAGTGCCTTGGGCTCCACAGTCATACTGCTTTGCTGGACTCATGACTTGCACATTGTGAACAATGGGTGGCTGTTCCGGCATTTGGACGTGGACATAGTGGTTCTCTGGGATCTGCCTGTAGACAGTGTTGTAGTGTCGCCTCACCAGCACTTTTGGTGCTTGTGCAGGCTCGCTCACACATTGAAGACCAGTCATGCCGCGCTGGAGAGGGCAAGAAGTGCAGCAAAAGTCCTGGTTCGCTTGAGCGGTCATGAGAGCCGCACAGTGATCAATACAAGGATCATCTTGGACGTCTCCGCACTGCTCGGTAGACCAGAAGAAGAAGAATGTGCGCACCTCGCAAATCCAAAGGAAGGGCAGCAAGACCAGCAAGAGAATGATGAATCCACACATGCCAATCAGTACCCAGCGTGGCCTGTAGGCATAGGTTGGCTGCTCAACCTTTGAATAGCTGCCAGTGCCTGGGTTTACCTCTACCAGGCGGCTCTCAATGTGACCTTGACCAGGTCCGGTATAGGTAATGGCCTCCGTGTTGCCCTCCTGGTACCGCTGGTAGAAAAGTCCGAAGAGGTAATCGCCAAAGCCGCCGCCGCCGCCGCCAACTGCGCCACCGGCCGCACCGCCGCCTGCTGCACCACCGCCCACTGCGGCGTATCCAGGCCCAGCAACGATCACCATGGTCTGACCTTTTGAGTGTGGAAAATGACTCTATCAGTAAAGCCACTTGAGCACAAATAGCTGTAAACTGAAGTATCAACGAACACACATCAAACACGAATCCCTCCCTCCACCGACCGCTTCATAAAAACCAAACAAAGGAGAAGTGTCAATATGTGTCAATGCCTGATCTCAATATCCGTGCGGCACCGTGCTCCACAAGTTGTTCCGCTCAGAACATGCACTGAGTAGGAACCCTTTTCGAACCAATTCCGCATACGGAATCGGGTCTTCCACCGCCGCAGTCGCCGCAGCAAACCGTCGAGTTGGTGACCTCTTTAAGGTCTGAAAACCTCAACCAATCCTCAGCAGTCAAAGACTTTGGACCATGTTTGGGGGTTTCGGACCGTGGTGGCTCGGACGAAGGCGAAACCACGGTAAATCGATCCTAGGATATGGCAGGGGTTGGCGATCAGAAACATCTACGAACTTCATGAAACATCGCAAAACACAGGTGGAGATTCACCTGAAGTCGCGCCCAGAAACATCAAACCACATGTTGCTGCTTTGGTCAACTAAGCTCACGACCTGCAAGCCTGGCATGCGCTGGTTTCTTTGCGTGGCTGGCCGGATCCTGGAACTATAAATGAATATATATATATATATAATATATATACACCTGAGAAGGGGGGGACGAAAGCCAGCAGCCGCCAGACGAGTGTCTCTTTTTCTGGCGGGCGTCGCGGCACAAGACACATGGTCGGCAGCTTGCGAGTCAGCGGTGCCGCGGATGCGGGGGGGCGTACGTCGTGGTGATGGAGGGAGCAGAGAAGCAAGCCGGGCGGCTTTGGGATAAGTTTGGTATGAAAGAAATAGTGAAAGAGAAATGCGATACGTTGTATGTTGGTGTAGGTCATCATCACAAGGCAATAGCATGTTTTGTGTCGGCATGTGTTTGTCACACGCAGGAAGGTACGCATCTTATGGAAGTTGGAAGGCGACATCGGCGTTAGCGAAGGGGAAATACCGTCTAAATTCGAGTGGTGGGATACCACGCGTGCGCACTGCAGGAAGACCTTCTCTATAGTGAGCTTCGACGCGCGCGCTTGAGTACGGCGCGCGTTTGACAAGAAGCATTTATGTGCTTCTTACATTTGGAGTGTTTGAAGTTTGCAATGCATACTGCAGCGTGTCGAAAAGCGGCATTCGTTGATTTGGAAGAGTGAGCGGGCACGTCTTAGCCGGGACGGGCTGCCAGCAAAAAGGCGACGCCATGAGTCAGTAGTATATAGAACTCATGCATCTATCTATTTATCTATTTATCTATCTCTATCTCTATCTCCATCTCCATCTCCATCTCCATCTCCATCTCCATCTCCATCTCCATCTCCATCTCCATCTCCATCTCCATCTCGATCTATCTATCTATCTATGTATGTATGTATGTATGTATCTATCTATGTGTATGTATGTATGTATGTATGTACGTATGTATGTATGTATGCATGTATGTATGTATCTCTCTATGTATCTATCTATCTATCTATCTATCTGCACCGGCAAGCCGGAAAAACGTTCGGTGCGTGTGGACGCCGCGAGAAGCATCCACTATGCGAGTCAACCTCGAAGGCATCCCCACCGAAGCTCAATCCAAATTCAACTCATGTCACTTCCGGTTCTCTATGGATTTCGCGAGTTACGGGCTGTCCTGAGAAGTCGTATCCTATATGCGGCTGCGGTCTGCTCTGCACGTGGGTCCCTGTCTCCACTCGATTGCAATGCCCATTGTCCAAATAGCCTCCAAAGCCGTTCATGATGCTAATGATGCACTACTTGGCGTCCATTGCATCACTCGCATCACCAAGTCCCATTTTCACTGCTTTTCTGACCCTCGCTTTGGAGCGCTCTCCCCCACCAAGCTCTGGGTTCACCCTCTCAAAATGTCCCTCTCAACACCCTCCCCCCCCCCACACCCCCTTAACTCACTTCGTTCGCTCAAAAAGCTCAAGCCTAGCCTATCGGCTGGCTTTCGTAAAATATATGTATGTTATTATAGATTCACCGGGAGCTGAAGGTCCGAATGTAATTTTATGTAGAGCTCAAGGTAGACTGGACCTCTTCTAGTTCGAAGTTCATGATTTCTCCCACGAACACATCACATGGAAGTGGATGGCACCCCCTGTTTCTATAACGGAAAGTCGTCTTCCAAGGGACCATGCCATCCACTTCCATGTGATGTGTTCGTCAGAGTGTATTTCTTTGAACCGCCACCGCCTGCCCCGAGTCGCCAGCGGTGGAGCGGCTCGCACCGCAGGCGACGCACGTTGAACACGTGGCCCCATTGTCCAACGTGCATCCTTGGAGTGAACGACAGCGGCCGGGCCGCCCTCCCCAACTGTCCAACAGAGGTTGAAGAACCCTATAGGCTATCCCATAGGTATCCCAGTAGCGTCTTATAAGGTCACTTTACCTCTGTTGGGTGTCCTTGGTTCATCTTCTGAGGATTGGAGGTTACATGGTCAGGTCTGTTTCTATACGCCCAATGCTGGACCGAGCACCTCATCCGAGCACCTCAACCGATCGGACGACTGGGTTGCTAAGAGCCGGTCGATTGCAAGTCCAGTTTCCCACAAGCATTTGGGAGGCAGGCCTCGCACGGTGCCAACATGTCTGCAAGCTGGAGAAAAACTGGCCTCACTAGCTTCAGGATGTTTCCACAACGTGTAAACACAAAACACCTATTAAAACACAGGTGATGAAGTGTGAGAATACTACTCACATGGACATATTGATCCCACAATTCTCAACTGCAAGCCTAAGCCCAGCATGCCAAAAGCAAGTTGATCAGAATACGAAAAGTGTTCTGGCTCAAGAACAAGGCATATAACTACCAGTTGCCATCCACAAAAGGGAACATGAACAACATTGAACATCATCTGTATTCCCGATGGATTTTTGTGTGATCAAAAAACAAATCCTTTGACCAAGAGGCTCTCCACAAGCTGCACATTCCAGAACTCCTCGGCCACGATACGGAGTGACTTTCTCACATCTCACTTCTGCAGCATGTGAAAATCGATGATTTGACAGGACGACACAAACAGGGGAATCCTCGTCCAAAGCTTTCAGCTTCAGATCGGCCCCGGTCCAAGCGGTCGAAGCCGAAGCAAGCCGCACCTGCCGCGTTCACCAGCGTGCAGCGCCCACAGCGCCAGGTGTCGGCTGCGCGGTGCGCGCGGCTCGGTGCGGTGCCACAACCATGTGCCTTAAGACGTGGAGGGATGGAAGCCTAGTAGCGATGGCCTCGAACCTAGTAGCAGTTGGATTGAGTTGGATTGAGTTGGCAGTTTTCTGGCGGGATTTGCTGGTCATTCTTCTATGTATGAACACACTTTCAGAACATCCCAGGTTCAAAATCCTTAAAAGATAATCCATCACCTCTCACACATCCCCCCCGGGCAAGATAGATAGAAACGGTCCAAACGGTCACAAAAACGATCGTTGGAGATCTCGTTTCATCCACCGGGAGACTCATAGAGACTGGCCAAGGCTCATCTTCAAAGCGGTGTTTTAAGCACACCTTTTGACCGCAGCGCGCACAAAGTACCTGAGAGACGGTCAGTGGACGTCCGTTTGAACCGGAGATTTCGCTGACACCGCGAGGACCGATCGCGCGGGTGTTTGGGCACGTCTTGTCGGTTCCAAAAGGACGCCCTACTTGCGACGCTTTTACAAGTACACTCATGTATAGGAGTTGATGAGTCAGACTCTTGGGGATCTTGGGGGCTCTAGTTGAGGGCATCTCTTGCCCCACAAAAGTGGACGAACCTGCCACCCCCCTCTTCTCTCTTCAAGGCGCTGTGTTGCTCGCAGTAAGTAGCTCTTTACAGCCTCTGACCGGACATCTCGCCTAGCACAGAGCGCGATCGCCGAAGCCAATTTGGTGCTATTCGGATCCAAAACGTGTGGAATTCTAGGCATAGACTTTAGCATCCTTAAAGCATCCTTTATCACTGATCACCAAGAAGTATCCATTTCCAGGATCTCCAGATACCTTTGGATCTCCTCTTTCTTTTTTTTGGCACATGAACTGTCCCCACACCAAGCCGCTCCGAACCGCTCAACCCCCCCCTTCTTACTACCGTGAGCTCCGAACCACTCACCGCCGAGGCGGCGTTTCACCAAACGCGCTGCGCCCCGACCCCGCGCCTTCTTTTGTCGGCTCTCGGCTCCCGCGGGATTGGTACACCCATTCAAGGTGTGTCCTTAATAAGCACCGGCCGTGAACGTCCCCGTGCGGTGCGCGTTCAGACTTTGAACGCCCGCGGCGCCCGAGACCAACCCTTCCCGCGGCGCTGGAGGTGCCCCGTACCGGCCGAGTGCGTGGAAAGAACGCCAGCCGAGTTGTTTCTTTCTTTCACAAGCTGATCACGACTGGACAGTGCTTTCAGCCTACCAAGATGGCTCCGAATCGATAGGTCCTTCATGGTCCTTCTGTTCCACTTGCATTGGTTTGCCAAATTCTGGTGGTTCCTAGCTTTAAGAACTGCGGAACTGCTGTGGGTCTCAAAACTAGCCTCCCAGGGCACCTTAAAGAAAACACACTTATTAGTACTTATTAGACTTATTAGAGTATTGTCACAGTCATAGTATACTCCATCTCACCAACATGGAAGTGGAAAACACCCTGTTAGCAAAAAGAGATCTTCCGGTGGGCCGCACCTCCATGTTAAGTGAGTCAGAGTGCACGGCTGTCATGTTTTCCTTGAAAACAAGCGCCCGTCCCCATCAAGCACCTTTCCAGGTAATTTCCTCCGAGCCACTTTCCCAGGTGAGGTTCGGGTCCTCTCCCACTTCCAAACGAACGCCCTTGTCGCACAAAGGGCAAACCAGAACTCGGTTATCCAGGCCTGCGGCCAGTGGACCTGGGAAGAAAAAGGCGAGGCAAGGAATTGAGGGGCAACAGAGGCCTTTCATCCCCCGACTTATTAACTTACATCGTTTTCGGCGGTTTTGAGTGCTGTGGGGTTAAAACCATGTGAAAACTCTCCTTAGGATACGCAAGTTGCACGCCAAAAGAAGGTCAGCCACAGCTTAAGGATACACCTCACCCAAGGAGATCCGCTACAGCCTCCGTGTCCCATCACTCTTCGCAGAGACCCAGGCACGGCTGAGCTGCCGACACTGATGCGCCTCGTAGCGGAAGTGGTCCAAGCAAAAGACACCCCGACACTGACCTAATGGGACAGCAGCATTGAGCTGATGTGCTTTCTTTCTTTTTTTCTGGATTCCAAGGTTCACCCCTTGCTTGCTTGTGCTCTTTCTGAGTGTCCTTCCGTCCGGAGTCCCAAATCGCAAAGTCGATCTTGGGAAATAGGATGCGAAAAGCCTCCCCTCGACTTCTCTACACCAAAACACACTAAGAACTCATCGATGCAAACCGTTTTGCACTACTTACGTGATTTGCAGGCATGTGAGTGCGTATAACCCGCATGCCGCTCAGCGGCTGCACGTGAAGGGCAGGAAGTCCAGCCGAGAGCATTCTTTGACTCCACAGTGTGCTCCTGTATTGCTCAAGACGGCCATTCCATTTGGGAGACCACGGTCTCACGCGTGACAGCCGTGCCCAGCGTGTCAAGTCCAGCTGTTTCTGCATTGATTTGTTTGCAGTGTCTTGCTTCTGTTTATGTGATTGAACCTAACAGCATAATCATAATATAAACAAAAAAACATCCTGAATGCCTAAATAGCCTGTGAAGGGAGATGTCTTCGTTCCTCCCCAACAAAGTATATCAAAGGGCAATGAGTTTTGGCCCACTCCCGTTTCTCTCAAGGTCTCCAGTGACGACAGTGATTGGTGCTTCTTCTCTCGTTGGCGTATGCTTCTCGAGCCAATGGCCTGGTCATGCCTGGCTTAGGTCAGAACAGCAGTTCGTACTATTCGTACTCTTTCCAAGGACTGCCAAAATCCCAGCCAGACTAGTTTTGGGGCAACAAAAAGACGCAGCAAAAAAAACACACATCAGTTGGCAAATCCAAGCAGCCTGAACCAACCGAATTTTCCGGGTTCCAACATGTCCTCCAACCTCTCCAAAGAGCCCGCTCGCAGTTGGACGACTCGACCAAAGGTGTGGGGCCGAACCACCCCCCAAGGGGCGCCGCTGGGGCCCTGGGCATCGATCTTCCACTTGACGAAGAAGACCTGCGCGACACTCGCTGCCGGTGGATTCGACTGCCCAAACTCCTTCTCTGCTGAGCAATTCAACTGACCGTCTGACCCCAAGAAACACTTCAATTGACAATGAGAAAATATCAACAAGCCAGGACCTAGGAAACAGAACAGGGGAAACAAATAACAAGCTAAGGGGAAAAAGACACAAGCGGCCTGCAAGGTCATTCTTGCCTGCTTCAGCACTAAACCTGAGCGTCTCTCGGAACTGGAAGCATCAAAACACCAAGGTATCACGATATGAAACCTTCCAAATCGGGTGGGCAAGCTCGCTTCTTCGAACCTTCGTTGGTGAAACGATGTCATTCCGGGTAACCCATGCTTCGTTCATGCCAGTCCGAGCAGAACACGTGTTCACGCTTTTTCTCGCTGGTGCGTACGCGTTCGTGCCGGAATGACCAGCGTTCAGCGGAAAGACAAAAAGTTCAACAAACCTTTCCAGAAGTCAGGTTCATCTGAGCCCAGTCTTTTCTTCAAGACCATCTGGGAGACAGTTCTTGGATGCCCGCCCTGTTTCTTGTCTCAATAGAGCCCACTGATCTCGAGCGGAACCCGTCCGAGGCCCCAGCCACTCCGTCGGTCGCAGCAACACAATGACGACATCGTCCTGCGGAGAAGGTGCTGCACAAATGTAAGTCCACATGGCTGTGTATCAAAATAGGGAGACCTCCCAAAGCCCCCCCTGGAAGAGGGAAAATTGGCCAGTCTACGCATTGCTTGGAGCTCTTCCTATATACACCCACATAGCTACAAGATGCCACAAGGGAAAAGAGATGAGTCACCCGGTCATGGCCCGGTGTTTGATCCAAGCTCCAATCAATTGAAACAAGCAGTATAATGTATTGAACAACTGTGCATCGCATCGCCACTCCCCACCCCCCTGTTTCATGAAACGGGGGGTAAGTACGTCACATGTGAATCCCATAAGAATCCTCTTTGGTCATCGTCTCTTAACGGGCCTCATAGTCACACGAGAATTCGGGAGAACGATGGAAAAAAACATCACAACACACATCTGATCGGAAGAACCACCGAATCGGATTGGGACACCCGATCTCGGCCAAGCACCGATCTGCGGCTCTCGGCCTCCGCACACTGCGCCAGCAGCCAGCGCCGCACGCCGCGCAGGTCGCCCCCGACCTGAGGAACCGGAGGGAACGGGCCGATGGTGTTCGGTGATGCCAGTGACTATAAGACCAATTGAGCCGAAAAGACAGCTATTGGAGAATCCTATATGGTGATTTAGTATATTTTAGTATGATTTATCCTATTTTACTAGGGAGCAAGCAATTTCAAACACCTCGAAGTTGGAATTCCAGAATACCAGTCATACCAGTCCGCCCGTCGCTGCCTGCAGCAAGCTCGCAGCCGAGAACACGGCCACCCGTCCTGCAAAACTCACAAGCCAAATTCTGCAAACATGGTGCAAGTCCATTGGGATAGTGATTTCCTGATTGATGTCGAAATTCCACTTCATCATACTTCATCCCAAAATGCTGCTTGGGTCCGTAGTATGGACATCATCCCATCTCCAATTCCCCAATCTTCTTCGAAGCCTTACAGTATATATGTCCAAACAAGCGCCCCCAAGAAAAGGTCCATCCCGCGCCTTCAGCAATGGCCGAAAGCCTAAGGAGACACAGACCACAAAGCAAGCTTCCGAAATGAACAGTATGAAGTTTATGAAGTTGGTCGTCAGCATGGCAGGGTAAAAAAAGTAACTCTTTGACCTGCTTCATGCTGCTTCAGCATTGAGCTACCTGCCATGATATAGCTTCTGCTGTATGAGGCCCAGCCACCTTTGATAGGAGCGACGCGATACGGCTTCTACGTGTGTGGTCTAACGAAACAGCTTCAACCATCTTCCGGTGCAAAGGTGCGATGTGGTGCGATGCTGACCTAAGTTTGCAGCCACTGCAATGTTTCTTACACGATGTCCAGGAAGTGGCTGTAGGGCCTTTGGCTGGGCCCGGGAAGGCAACACGAGGTGTTCCCGAAGGCAGTTCGAGAAGAGGACACATCTCTCAGTTCGCTAGAGGACACTTTCGAATGACGCGCGATCGGTGCTCCTTCTGCAGGCAACTGCAAATCTCTGGTGCAGGCGATCTCGGCTTGACCTGCTATAACATCAAAGACGAAAGGACACCGTTCCTTTTGGGGGGTTCTGTAATTTCTGGCCAACATTGGTCAAAAGCACATGATGAAGAAATTGGCATAGAATTTCATCGAATCACACTGAGGATACTCATGTTTGCCTACAAAGGCGGAGACCCAGGACCTTGGTCTTCCGTCCGCTTCTTCCATGTGGCACCATTGGTGCGTCCGCTTCGGATGGAGAAGTTGCATGTCTCATGCACACACAAAGGCTAACAAACGCATTCCCAAACTCCTAACAATAAGATCTAACAAAGGACGCTACGAACGGGGCTCTTGGCCGTACTACTATAGGAGCAAGGACGCTACGTTCGGGGCTCCTGGCCTTACTACTAGCAAGGACGCACCTTCTTCGCTTCTCTTGTCTCTCCGCCCATGGGCTCCACTTCGGGGCCTTCCATGTCTCCACGTCCGCTTGACCCGCCGCGGGCACCGCCACCGCGTCCGCCGCACCCATCAAGACGGAAGGAGCGCCGGGTCTCCTCCACCAGGCACGACAGCGACTGGGCAAGAAATGCGAACAAGCTGAGTTGGTCCCAAAGCATCCCCATTGGCTCACAGGGCTTTGTGAGGGTCCCATCGGGCTTTTGATGTGTTTGTTCAATGCATTCCAAACAAATCGTTGATCGGATGATCGATGAACAGTTACCGATTTCCAGATCTCACACTCTCTCACCCTCCCATCGTTCCCAGTTCGCCTTTGCCAGGCGCCGTCATCGCACGCTGAGCTGCTGAAGAGGGCGCCATGGCGCCGCCAGGCCACGCCGCCAGGCCACGCGGCCCTTTGTGGGACGACAAGGAGCGGCCCCTTCATCATGTTTCATCCATTCTCATCAGGTTTGCATCAAAGGACGGTGGAGTCCTTCTGAAGGAAGATAGATACAACATGATGCATGCGCAACCAGCTTCTTGAAGACACGGGATGACACGGGAAGTGACTTGAACGCCCCCCATTCCATTCCTCGTCCATGTTTCTGTGAAGTGAGATCCTTCCGGCACATTTCTCAGCAACCCAGCCGCCCGGGCTCATCTTTGGACGTTCGAATGGAAAAATGGCTGGGATGTTGATTGTAGTTTTATTATTTGTTTCCGGGGTTCTTTTGTGGACATCAATTGCACATCACCAGCCAACTGGATGCCATGTCGGCTTGATGAACATCAATTCTTGGTGCTGCGGCACAGACCAGATGTTACTTGACATAGGTCAATCTCAATGTAGTCTAAACAACCAGCCATTTCATTCCGCCATCGTGGTCACATCAAGGTCTTAACTCCCTCTACTGCGCAGAATTGTTTCTTCAGTGTCACAACCACAACTAAGGGGTAGTTTGGGTGGCCTCGAGTTCCGCAAGTCCGCCGCAAGTGCGAGTTAGTTTGACGTGCTTCGTCAACTCCCTATCCGAACCTGCGGGAATCGCTCGCTTTTGTTCGACAACGAATCTGAGACAAACACTTCTTATCCGATGCCTGCGCAGCTTCTGCTGCGAGACTGTCCGCCTGCACAAGGTTGGAAGCCGTGGATGTCGTGGATGCTCAGCAAGCGGTTAGCTTTGTATCATTAGTTTGTGGCTTTGTATCGTTTGTTATCGTATGTTAGCTTTGCAAGAAGGTTGAAGAGAAACATAGAACTGTTGCATCTGTTTGTTCTTACCACCAAGTATCCCCAAAGAGGGTCAGCATGCTCACATTAGTATTAGTATTCAAGAACCTTTGCAGCTGCGCCCATGGCCACTTCGGTGGGATGAAGTGCCAAGTGTATGGGGCATCGCTATTTCCACTGGTCCATGTTCCACCATACTGGGCGATGCCCGAGCGGCCTTCAGCTAATTGCTCTTTGTGAAACAACACGATTCTGCACAGCATCGTCTAACCCGTCGACAGGATCCATGATAATGTGGGGACAATTCCACACGTGGGGTCGATTTATGTCGTTTTGGTGTGACAGCAAATTCCTGGTGCCACCCTGCTTAAAAAATAAGTTTGACTGCGTCTAAGGACTGCCACCCACAGGGTCTCATAGATTTGCCTATCACGGCAACATCGATGTCTTGGAACACAACGAAGCGCAACGAAGCACATCCGTTGGGTCCTCAAAAGTTGTTGCGCCTGTAGCACTTCTGTTTTTCTCCAACGCAGCGACTTCGGGAGGAGCTGTCTTTGAGACCCCAGTGAAGCAAACCAAGTGAAACGAGTAGAGCATCATCCCATCATCGATGAAACAACAAATGAATCCTGAGATTTTGAAAAAATCCAACGCTCTCATCAAACCCTGACCTTCACATCCACTTGTCCAATCCGGTCCCAGCACACGATCTTCCCATCTGCACGGATAGCAGCGAAACCCTCACTTGCACCTTCTATGATCTGGATGTTGTTCAGATCAGCCTTGAATCTGCTGGTATCTGCACCTGCATGTGACATGATGTGAGACGCAAGCATGTCTGAAGACTGGTTCCACTGAACGTCTGCTTGCTAATATCACGCAATCGGTACTCGATTTTTGCTGGTAGAAACGAACATTGGGTACAAAGTGAAGTCGCAGGGAAGAATGGTCACCCCTCAAGTTTGCCATGGGCTGTAAATTCATATTATGTTCTCAACCAACAACGAACAGATTTTCACTCCCAAATAAAAAGCACCCACGGATCAGAAACCAAGAGCACCTATATGACGCATACATATCAGTACACACACATCATCTATACAGAACATAAAACACAAAGACCCTTTGCTAGCGAGTTTGTTAGGCAGTTCTGTTCTTCGGACCCTTTCGCCTCACTGTTTTTGCAAGTCGAGGGCTAGGTATTCAGTAAGTAAGTCGTTTCTGCAGTAACTAAAGTGTTAAGGGCTAATGCAACAGCGAGCCAGTTATTACAACTTATGTTCATTCATTTGAGCTATGTATCTAAGTGCGTGTTTGTGATGTGGTTGTGGTTATGTCTGTGTGTTTCTTCTTGTGTTGTTGGTTGTGTGTTTTGTGTTGAGGTCCGGCAGTGCCCACTGCGATCTGGCGCTTGCTGTTGAGGTCCGGTAGTGCCCACTGCGCTCTGCCAGTTGCTGTAACTTGCTGGCGAGGAGGAGGAGGAGAAGGAGATCTCTGATAAAATCTAACAACCCTCACCTCGCAGGTGGGGAAAAACACACACACAAAAAAAAAAGAAAGGAAAAAAAAACCACATCATACGCAAAAAAAAAAAAAAAAAAAAAAAAACACGCCATCTTCGCTCAGGCGCCATAATTGCGATCGCCCCAGCTGACCACGTGGCCATCTCCGCGCAGGGCCGCGAAGGCACCGTACGACGCGGCCACGGTGCGCACGTCCTGCAGCTCCTCCTCGACACCGCGGGTGTCGGAGACTTCGCCCCAGCTGAGCACGGTGCCGGTGGCCAAGAGCGCGGCGAAGCTGCGGCCGGAAGCAAAAAGACCTCGGAAGGGTCTTCTCATGTGTGAGTGCTTGGCTTGGTGTGTGAGTGCTTGGTGTGGGTGGGTGGCTACTTTAATGCTGGTGGCATGCCTACTAATTAGGCGGAAGGACCAAAAGGGGGAGGTGGAGATTCAACTGGCAGAGCTGAAGTCTTCAGATTGGTGATATGTCATGGCTGCAATTATATATCAAATACACTTACGGTACTTTTGTTCACTTTGGTGCTATGTCGGACAGCAAACAACATTGTTTTCCCTTGATTCAATTACTTGCCTGCATGCATCTAAATAAACATCATCCTACTTCCAATCCTTGACACCAGGCTTTGTATCACCCACTTTCCGCCACGACACGACACGACAACACGACACGCATGAGAACACTGGACCTCTTTCCGCCACCAACCTCTTTCAACCTCCACGACACGTTGCACCTCTTTCAGCCGCTCCTGAACTTCACCTTCAAGGCATCCGCCCTTCACGGGATCTCCCCAGACGCGGACGGAACCATCGCGCAAGCGCGCGGCGAAGGCTTTGGTTGTGCCCACGATCTCCTGAAATCAGAGATCAACTGCTTTGGGTGGGGCCAAGTTCTCTGTAGATGGCACAAGTTACTTTAAGTTTGGTGGTTTATACAGTATGGGCCCCCATCTGTTCAGGACATCTTGAGGTCTGCGCCATCTAGAAAACAACTGTAAATGTGGGACTAACACTTCGAGGTCCGGTTTTTCCTTCGGTCTGTCGATGTAAAATCGAACATCGGCGTTCTTTGGTCGGGTTTTCGGCGTTGTTTGCCAGAAGCAAAGCACGAGGCATTTGGCCAATTCTGCCGCACGCGACACGACAGATCTCACGAGCGAACACACGTGTTTGTTGGGTGCAACGAAGTGTAGATGAAATCAATATACCAACATTGCCAAAACAAGTGCGTCCATTGCCTTGTAAAATCGTGCAAACATGTGATCGTTTAAGTCTCATGAATTCTGAAATGAATTCCACTCACCGCTCTTTCCGCAAAGAGAGACTGTCCGGTCGTTTGATTCCTGGACATTCTGCAAATCCGAAGGACACCGGCCGCCATGGCTTTCATCGCCCCAGGCCACCACCGTCCCATCATCTTTGAGCGCCGCGAAGGCTCCGTCGGTGGCAGCAAGGTGGCGGACATTCACCAGCTTCTCCTGCTGAAGGGAGCCGAGCTGTGCACGTGCGAAACATGCCGTGCGGAACGGACAGACCAAAGGAGGCGCTGATAAGAGGTTCTGCAGGTGTAGTATCCCAGACCATCCATGTCTGGAAGAGTTATATATATATATACCTGTACCATCCTGTACCCCATTTCTGATCCCAATGTAGGGAACTATTCCATACATGGATGGTCTGGGTATGGAAGAGATCCTCACCCAGAGCACCATGCAAAGAGGACTGTATTGACCAAAAAGGTCCAGGTTCCAAAGAGGCCCCTTTATCTGTCATTGATCTACATATCTTCATCCATCATGTATGTGACCTGTATGTGTGTTTTTTTGTGTGACCTTTGTAGAAGCAGTAAAGCTTTTTGTGTTTTTCAAATAAAACGTTCTATATATTTGCCTTTGTCTTCTGAAACTCGTGAATCCAAGTGCATCTGAAGCCAAGAGGTCATGCTCTTTTCACATACAGCTGCGCTCCTTGACACTCTCAGAGGATCCACCAAAGGCTTCGTTGCCCCAAGACACGACGCGACCATCCTTGCAAAGTGCCGCAAAAGCACAGAAGGCTGCGACCACCAGCTTCACGTTTTGAAGCTCCTCCTTCACCGTCTGGCAGTCTCCACCATATTTCTTATCCCCCCATGCCACAACAGTAGCATCCTTCAGCACTGCGGCAAACGCACGTCCTGAGGCAGAAATCCCTGTGACAGCCGTCAACTCCTCTTTGTGACCGCCCAGGGCAGCGCCATAATCCTTGTGGCCCCAAGTGACGATCTGCCCATCGCCGCGCAAGGCCGTGAAGGCACTCTGTGAACCAGAGATGTCAATGACATTCTTCAGGTCTTCTTGAACCGGTGAGCTATTACCTCCTTCCTGGGGCTCTCCCCATGTAGAAACGCTGCCATCGGAACGCAGCAATGCGAAGGAATCGGATGCCCACGCCTGTGTCTTCCGAATGGCCTGCAACTTCTTCACCTTACCAAGGCAAGCTGTGAGAAGGTCTCCAGTTTGGATGCCTTCTTCGTGCAACTTGGAAGATCCAGCTAGAAGCCTACCCTTGAAGATCAAGCCGCACACATCCTCCAAGGGGACCAAGTTTCGAAGCTCCTCCACTGCAGAACAGCTCTTACAGCTCACGGTCATGGGCTCACCACCCAAAGGTTGCAGAATGATCGACAGGCTGGCACTTTCGGAAGCGCCCCGAGGGGTAGCAGCTGCTGTATACACGATCCGCTTAAACGCATCCCTGGTTTCTCGGTCAGTACTGGCACCAGCACCCATCGCTACTCATATAGTGTACAATGGGTACTCCACCTGTAAAGCGGGGCGTTTGAGCCGACTAGTCGGTGCGAACGTCGACCCATCAGCCCCAGTTGACCAAGTGTACCGGGTCGGCACAGCAACAACGATCCTATCAACTGCAAAACCTGCCTTTGGATGGCTAGCTTGGGCATGAAGAAAGCGTTGCAAGTCGCTGTAGTGTATCTCTGCATATATCAACAGTGCCTGGCATGACAATGAGCCGAACAAGACACAACAATGACATACAAGGCTAAACAGCAAGACTAAGAGGTCCAGGAAAAAGAACCTGCCAGCCGCTAGCCCAACTGCCTGCGTCCATTCCAACTGCCTGCGTCCGGGTGCGAGAGCGACCGGGATCCGAGCGGTTTGAGCGAGCCGACCTTCGATCGACCGGTGGCAGATCGATGGATCGCATCACAGTGAGAAGGCCACAAGTTACGGATCTTCGACTGGGCATGGTTTAACATAGTGAGAAACCATGTGAAAAACCTAGGCAAAGTGCAAACTCAACATGGATCGTTGATCCTTTTTTCCGGGCCAGTTTGATTTGTGATCTGTACAAACTGGGAGGTTCAGTTCTGCTGTCGTGTCAGGTTCATGTTTTTTTTGTGCCTTTCTTCCCAGTGTGAGCCCGCCGGATACCAGCCTTGGGCAAGTAGAGCGCTCTGGGGGGGCCAGGAGATCTACATCACGCATCCGCATCCAGTATAGGCACCTCAAACCGCCAAAAATGGCTGCCAAAATCTCAATCATGAAAAGACAAAACGACAGAGTGCCCGTCTTTCGTCTAAGGCAACACATTGTTTTTGCCAATCTGCAAGCCCTATTGAAAGATTTGGTTGAAAAACACCAAACACTGTTCTTTGACATCCATTTTCTGCTGTGAAGTCGTGTCCCATCATCTACTTCTAGTCATTCTGTGCAACTGCTCTGTTCATCGGGCCATCCATGCCTTCCCCCTACAGGGCTAGCCCCAAATGCACAAGACCCAAGCATGTTTGAGCACTCTAAGAAAGAAGCAGGCCTGTGCCACGTGCACTTCAACTCACGAAGGATGTAAGCAACAGGTAGAGCAACCACAAGCAACCACGGCAGCTGTCACCAAGTGACGTCAGTATGTGTACTCAGCCTCAGTTTCTTTCGGGAGCAAAGGCTGTTGAAGCTGCTGAAGCTATAGAATGACGAAGTGAATATTCACCAATTGAATATAATCTATGCTGTCTCAATGTGCATCAAGGACCTATTTACCACGAGGAAGTGGTTAGGATTATTTCACCGAACCAAATTGGTCCAAACATTCCAGCACTGACGGCGCTGATCAAAAATACAACATCAGCGCTGACACCGATCTGATAAAACGATAAAATACGCTGATGCTGACTGTGTCTTTGTCTGCAAGTCTTGTCTGACCAGTCTCTATTGCATCTCTGCTTGTGCGCTTCGCGCGCAGAACAAGATGAACAATCTTGTCAGGCAGATTCTTCTCTCTCTCTCTCTATTCTTTAAGATCGAGTCGGTGATGGCCACTACTGGTCAGTTTCAGCTTTTGGCGAAGCGGACATCAACTGCTTCTCCCCAGGTTGTTTCTATCCGTGCCGAAAATGAGGGTTCCCCCAGTCGCAATTCTGTCATGATGATCCCTCTTATGATCAATTATTTTAAAGAACAACTTGATGCTTGAAGTGTAAAGGCTTTATTAACATCCACTAAATGCATACTTCGTCATTGATTTCGAGTTTTCCGTGTGACATGGGTCTGTAAACATCCGCAACGATCCCCACGCCACGGTCATCTACTTCACGGACAAGTTGCAATCCATTTTGCGACGCTCGTCTTCGACGTCACGGCCGCTCCTACGTCAGATCGATCGCGGCCGAAGCGGTGCGAAGCGTCACGCGGGTCGTGTCTTGTCACGCGGGTCGTGTCTTGACACGCGACCCAGTCACGTGGCCGAGCCGATGCCCCAAAACAACCGTTTAATCATTTGACGAAAACATATTACATCTTCATGGACTACATTTGATTGAACTTGTTGAAGACCATTTGCATCTTGACCTCTTTGCAGAATGTGGAATCTACAATACACGTTCATCATGTGGCCAGATCTAAGGAGGAGAAGGGCGCACTTGACTAGGGAGGTGAAAGATGATTATAAACTCTGATTTGCTGGTCAACAAATCCGCTTCATTTGCTTCAACTTACCGAGTGCTTACTCTGCGAGGCTGTGAAGTTGATGCTTTCCTGAGATGTGAAACTGCGTGTGGTGCTGTATTTGGCCGGAACTTAAACGTGGGCCCTCATCCGAAAGTGGGTTGCGAAAGCGCCTTTCAGATGCACTAGATCAAGTGATGTCGCGCAAAAAACGCAGTCAAGTCAAGTCAAGGAAGTGAAACAGGTCGTGAGGCCATCTGAGCCCAGATCATCGTGTGCGGAAATAACTATGAATCTATGAACATAGATGAACATCACTGAACAGCAAAGGAGTTCATTTTTGTGAAACAAGTCGAGGCACAAGAAGGCGCATACATTGTCATGAGTGAGCGAGTGAGTGGGTGGGCAGGTGAGTGGGTGGATCAGTGGATGAGATTGAGATTGAGAGAGAGAGGGGGGGAGAGGGGGAGAGAGCAAGGAACCAAGAGATCCAGGGACCACCGGCACAAAGATGTTCCAACCAAGGCACGTCAGCAGAACCTACGATCCCTACAAAGAGCGAGCAAAGGGGGAGGACCATGAATTAAAGAAGCTCCCCTTCCCCTTCAGATCTGTACTTCCTCCAAGTCAAGGTGGCAACCTCACAAGGCAGCTGCACACGAGGCTGTTTTATGTAGAAGAGGCTAGGTCCTACCAGCAAGGGGCTGCATTTCACATAGAGGTTCTGCAACATCTGTCAAGTTGAAGATTCTGGAGAGATAGCTTCGCTCTGAAATACTCTGAACTCCCTTAAACAATCAAAAACACGCGATCAAAGACTTCGCATTCAAACAACCTGTCAGCCAACATTAGCCAACCAATTGAAAAGAAAAACTGCAATGAAAAGTGCAAGCAACATTCACGCCCAAAACAAAAGCGACATTTCTTGATCATCTGCAAAACTCCTCCCGGCCTGTGGATCATACGAGTGCAAATCATTCAGCCGACCTCGAAGAATTGCTTCACACATGAAGCCGACAAACCTCATCACCTCATCCCCTGCACTGAGACCGCCGCCGTTGCCATCATGTCCGCCAAAGATCAGCATCACGCCGGTGATAGAACTCCACACGGCCGAGTGGGAAGACCGTGCTGCGGGCGCTGAGCCGCTTGGGGCAAGTAGCTGCCAGGCATTTGCCTGTGGGCGCGCGAAAGATTCGCCCCAAGAACAAAATAATATAAAATGTTTAAAAAAAGAAACATATGAACAAGACAACCTTTGGCCCCACAAAGCCCCAAAACAACCGTTTAATCATTTGACGAAAACATATTAAATCTTCATGGACTACATTAATTAAACTTGTTGAAGACCATTTGTATCTTGACCTCTTTGCAGAATGTGGAATCTACAATTCACGTTCATCATGTGGCCAAATCTAAGGAGGGGAGGGGCGCACTTGACTAGGGAGGTGAAATATTGTGATAACTTGTTGGTACACAAATCCGCTTCATTTGTTCAGTGTTTATTGTGTCAATCGGATGTCTTCTTGTGATTGGGCTCTCATCCGAAAGTTGGTATTGAGCTGAATTACACTCTTGCACACCACTTTCGGTTCAAGCGACATCGGCTCACGCAACCAGTCCAAAGACACGGTAAGGCCATCTGAGTCAAGACAATGATAATTGTTTCCTTTTGTTGTGGGGCTTCGGGGGAACTTCCACGAGCTTTCGCGGCTTCCTACGGATACCTACACTGTACGTGTGGATTCTTTGAGTGGCACCAACTCGACCCCTTTCACAGGTGAAATTCTGAAATTGGTCGACACTTCCTTTGTGCTGCAACAAACCATAATATTGCTTGCCTTTTTTCTTTTGTCTTTTTGCTCTCACTGGCGAATGAATGAGCATCCAGCACATGCGCTGGTATGAGTTGATCTTGCTTCACAGCACCCAATGCTTTGCACAAAATGAGGTTGCACACATGAAGAGGAAGAACGATAGAACAATAGCTGGCTCAGTCGAGACCAAGCTACATGCACATGATGAGCTGATTTCTGACCCCCAGATCGAACAGTTTACGATATTCTGTTGAGATGATCGTGCGCATTCGTGCGCCAAGTAAAACAAGAACATGAACGTACATACACGAACATCACAAAGCATCATGAACGTCAAAGAAAGCAAAATAAATGATAGATCAGGACTGTTAGGGAGTTGTGTTGAGGTGAGTTGAAACTGAAGTGCAAAACAACAACGATGAACTAAGACCAAAAGCGCTTATGCTGCGCTCTTGCAGTTTTGGAGGCAATGGGCCGTCAAGTCACGAGCTGCGCAGTCCAGGCTGCGCGATAACACCAAAATGAATCAACACAAAAAACATAAGTATTTTAAAACATCTAAAACCCATGTTTCAAGCTTTGGATTTCAGAACACTTGGCAGCCAACCATCTTGAAAATTACTGCAGAGTTGAACAAATGAAAAGCAAAACCATTAAACACGGCTGACCTTTCCGGTCAATACATGTCCATATTCCATGTTCGTCTCTCTCATCCTCCTATCCGGTTCGCCTCAATCGTGAAAGCCGCGAATCCCGCGCGGTGGGCACGCTAGAGCCGCCCGCGCCGCTGGGGGCAAGTGGCTGCCACAGGTGCCACACATCGGCCTGTGGATAACACCGACGGACCGGCACGTCGGTTCGTGCGTGTGAACGGATGGTGAAGGAGTTTTTCCATCTCTGACCTTCAAAAGCTTTGAGTTTGAGCATGAACTTCATCCTCTAAGTGCACTGTGCCTTCCACTGGTTGATCTGCGCGAAGAGAGTCAATCAAAACCAACCGAAGGCCACCGTACCTTGCGATCCAAGGCCGTGAAAGCGCCGTGTTTGATGTCGAGCACTGCGCTCAGATGGCAGCGGCAGCCACACGCAGCCACATCATGCAGCCACATGATCTTCCATGGCAACGCAAAGCAAGGCTCTGTTGCAACTGTGCTCATCCTTGATTGACGGCTCTAATGCTGTGACAACCACCTGTAGGAAACCCACTTTACAGAATGAGCTCAGCTGGTCTTTGCCAATCTCCCTATGTAAGCTGTATCCTGTATCCTTTAAAGATTGTATCGGTTTGGTCCTTTGCGGCCAAGGCTACCACACTCACAGTGCACAGTGCATCACAGCCACCCTCAGAATGCTGTTTGTGATAGTCAATACTTATAGAACATCTTGATTTTTCCGCATCTGTCTCTACGTGGCCAGCGTGGCTGGCGCGGCCGCCCTGGCGTGGCTGGCTCATGAGCACCACGAAGCACCATGAAGCACCACGCCGTCGGCTCAACGAACACCACCCAGTCTGCGGATAGGCTTCAGTTAGACAGGGATCGATGGACAGTTGGATCCGGTTTTGGCGGACCTACCTTAACAGGAACACTTCAGGCGCTCTTCAGACTCCCGGTCCCCTGTGCTCTTTCTACGAAAAGAGCTGCCCCCGGTACAGTTAGACCCTCAGTGTGGTGTTTCTTCCACCACTTTCAGACTTTGAGCCGCAGCAGGTGGCGAGGCGTTGTCTCTGTCAGACCGAAAGCACCACTTGGCAGAGACTGACTTGAGTCAGCTGCGAGGAGAGTACAAGCACCACCTTCCAGCACCGAGGAGAGTAACGAGGGATGACACCAACCTGTCCTCTGGATCATCCGGCAAACAATGACACCATCCACACGCACGCGAGCGAAAATGTCACAAGCTACCATGCTTCCCGTTCCTGAACTACAGCGTCTTAAAGTTGATGATGGCAGCAGCAGCAGCAGCAGCAACAGCAGCTGCTTCTGTGTCAATGAGCGCACTGGATGCTTTGCAAAAGCAAGGCTATGTTGCAATAATGCCCATCCTTGATTGACAGCTCTCATGCTGGATATCCCCATTTGCCAGAATATTCTCGGCTTATCTTTGAGAATCTATCTTCTGTACCAGAGCTGTATCCTTATCCTTTGAGGTCATGCTGTATCTGTTTGGACTTTGGCCAAGGTTACGAGTACCATGTTTGCAGCGCATTACAGCTAGCTCAGGATCTCTCTCTGTGGGAAAGGTCCAATGAATAGGAGCATGAGCAGGAGCCCGACACACCAGCCACATGAGCAGGCAGCAGGCGCTTGCGAGGTACCAACCCAACAAGCAGGGATCCACAGTAGGGCTCAGAAAGGGCTTCGCCAAATATCATCGAGAACGGTTCGACCAGCCTGGGCAGGCCTACATTATAAGAACTATGTATAGAGCAGCAATCATTACAGTAAGGAGGCCGTCCATCTAAGAAGCACATGTCAGTGGGTGTCTCGTTGATCAGATATTCAGAACGCGCACAGAACCAAACGTGACGACGACACTTTTTGCGTCAGTAGCTGCGGCCGAACAAGCACCACCTGGCAGCATCAGGAAGAGAAGAATCACGACAGGAGACTGTCTTAGCCTGGCGGCTCTTCGAATCTCCAAACAAGTGAGACATAGTGAGACTATAGACTGACACATTACCCCATTACGTGTCTTTTAAGTAGATGTCTTCTCAAAAATGTCTTCACCCATCATAATTTCTATCTGGCTATGACTTCAGTGTCACATATTTGTCGCCCCATCACATGTGAGCCGCCGGCCACGGGTCCTACACTTCACGTGGCCACGAAAACCACACCTTCTTGCGGGCTCTCCTGTAAAGAAGCACTTCGTACCGCTCGGCAGTGGTGGCTGGTCAAACCTTGCATGGTGGTGTGGCTGGTCAAACGGGCAGGAGTCTTTGACCCAGTCACATTGTGTTCATCTACTTCTCCTACCACCGAAGCTAGTTGCATCACAAGAAAGTGTTGCATAATCACAACGAGCTCACTACAAGCTCCGGGGCAGAGGTCGAGTCGACTGAGGCTGGAGCGGCAAGCAGAGGCTCTTCATCGCACCAGTCTGCAAGATTTCACATGGTGACCCGGCCAAGACTCTGAAGGCACACTGAAAGTGAACACAACGAATTAATCCCAATGGAATTCATTAGACTTCTACAAAGCGGTCAGAGTCATGTTCTTTTGCAAAACCTTTTCTCATACACCCGGCAAACCAGCTCTTTTCCTTTCTGAGCCAGCTTGTCTACCATTCGATCATTTCCACAGTCCGATGTCGAAACGGTCCAAAACCAGGAAAAAAATCATTGACCAATCTAGTATACTGTTTGCTCCCTGTTCTCAAACACTACATGAAGATCACGTCACCAGTTTTGGCCCGCGCACCAGCGCAGCTTCCTTTCCATCCTCTGCCTGGATTCGGCCGAGGATAGGCATCAGCACGATGACACAGGTCCCGGTGGTCCACCCAATGATGGAATTAGTGATACCACCCGATGGTAGATAGAATTGTGTCATTGTGGTCCACCCAATGATCTCGATCGGCCAAGTGCTAGACCTGGACTGGAAGTTTCAACCTTGATGTCGCAAAGAAACAAGCCCCTTCAAAGGCCTCCCCTCCCCAAAAACGGGTCGCTCGCTCCCCCAAGCAAAGCACTGACCTCTGCTCGGTTCACAAGTTCTCCACCCTCACATCCCCCGCGAGCGGTACCGCTCTGGCGCAGCGGCGCGACCGGCGAACGGCGGGTGGGGCCTCTTTCGTTCGCCGCCGGATGAGCAGCTCCGACCTGAGAGGGGGGACCAAAACGCCTTCACCCCGACCGGTGGGGGGGGTCGTGGCCAGAACCTACGTGGCAGCACCGCAAGTTTACCGCATGGCAGTACCCATCATTAGACGTGGGAATCGTATGGAATCGTGTGACACCCTGGGGCTTTGGTTCATTCTATTCTGATCTGATCTCCACCGGTTCTTTTTTGAGATCATTCGAGATCATCCGAGTTTTTTTTTAGGTTCACCTCTCACCTCTCATCATTCCACCATATTCCACTTCCATCTTCTCCAAGGCCACCACGCAGCAGTCTCACACCAGGGAGCTAAGATGAGTTTCTTTTGCTTCAGCATCGGCACGACCTGCACGAAAAGCGCGCATTGGTCTTGTCTTCACCGCAGTGGTGGTGGCATCCGAACGTCTATGGTCAGCGGTGCCTCACTCCAGTCCATGACCTTGGCAATGCCAGCATCGCGCTCCTCAGTGGCCTCAAAATCAGGGGGGGTACGAAGAAGACCCGAAAAAAACTCATCGCGTGCAGAAAATGGCCTGAAAAATGAGCTGCCATCAATGGCCCTGTGGGTCATGCCTGGAGAACTTCTCTGATTAGTTGAAAACAGCCAGCGACCGTGTCCTGGATATGATGGATTTTGAACAGTTTCACATAAAGGGACACCACGTTGTAGGTGATTCATGCAATGCCACATGGGTAATGCAATATGTGTATGCTCATGTCTGTGCTACGCCATGGGGGGCCAGTCAATGGAAAGAAACGATCAAAGTGAATGGCGATGCACGCAATCGACACCCGCTGTCGCTGTGCCTTTCGGAGCATGGCCGCGTGGATGTCCTTCAAGTCATCTCTGACAATGGCCGCCAGCTGTGACTGCTCCACATCCTTTCTGCAAATGAGGAGACTTCATGTCAGCTGCTTCAGCACTTCAAAAGAACTGAGCTGAAGAGTTCGGTTCCAGCGATGGCCTCCAACCCACTAGCGATGGCCTCCCTACTGCGGAGTGCGGCTCCACTTCCGTCCTTCGTCGCCCCCGACCTCGCTCCACGTGGCGCCCGAACTCCACGTCCGCTCGCTCGCCCCGAAGCCTCGCCTTCTTGGAGCCATCCAGGCGCCGGACCACTCGGCACGTCCCACGATCCAGGTCCCGTGGCCCGACCTACCGAGCCCGGGTCCGACGGGTCCCGACGGGTCCGAAGCCGAGAGGGTACCGATGACCCCAGCGGAGAAGCTCTCGGAGCCACCGACCAACGAGGCGCTGATTTGGGAGAGTCGATGATTGGTCTCGTTCCCGTTCCGATCGAAAAAAAGGAAGTGACACTGCACCGCCTTAGTCTATACGCCTATATATACATATATACTGATTCAACTTGGTATACAATATGGTGTTTTTGTAGCCATGATCCCACAGATGTGCATCGTTAGTTAGGTGTGCCATGCCCAGTTGACGCTGCGAGGTGCCTCCACTCTCAGTGGCACACCTTTCAGCTCCCACCTGAGCTCGGCTACGGCTTGGCTAAGGGTGGCCAACATCCCAAAGGTCCAAAAAATCGGGAACTCTCAAGCGACGCTCAAAACGAGCCGGTGACCTCTGTTAGGTCGTCACTCCTCCGTCGCAAGTCGGACGGACCCGGACGGAGCAATCAGGACAGAGCAATCAGGAGCTGTTGTCAAGAATTTTAAACCTGTCCTACTCGACATGTCTGCTCACTATATCGAAGATAGATCATCTTTGGCGCATCTTCGAGCGGAAAGAACACCGTGTTAATAAAAATACAAAAACAAACAAACAAAACACACTCACAGAGAGCCCATGAGCTCCACACCAGTTGAACTTCCAACCAGGCGTATAGTTGCCTCGAGCATCCACCTGGACGCAAAACCACCAAAAACAGACCATTCTGCTGTGGTTTTTGGCACAAACTCTTAAGAAACCAGGAATGCATCTTCTGTAGCTCTTGGAGTACAAGTCCGGGAGCCACTGCAACTTGGAATCCAGCTAGTCATAGCTAGCCAGACATGTCGTCTCCACGCCACTGCAGCTTTCACTCCCTCACGGACCGAGTTTCGAAAACTGCCGAGTTTCCCTCACGGACCTCTGCGCGGATGCCATGCAGCTTCAACTCCTCCATGAGCTGCCAGCATTTAAACTCACCTCGGGCTTGGCACAGCTTCTGCAGAAAACCCTGGAAAAGCTGAAGGCCGGCGAAGCCAAGACAAGCCGTTGCCGTTGCCATCCCTTTCGCGGCGCAAATCGATGCGTCTTTTTAAACTTCTTGCTTCGACTGTTCCAAATCTTGTCCCAGCGCTGAATCAATCGTTCGATCTGTCCGACTACACGGCTGGTGAAGGAGGCCACCTGCAAAGCCCTTCGATCTTCCCGCTCGAGGTGCCGTCGTTCTCGCTCCTCCCAGCGGCGCATCACACGTGCGCAAAGCTGCTGACGACGTTCCTCCTTGGCCATGCGATAGGCGTTCCAGGCAGCTAACTGGCAGTGGTGTTGTTGCTCATGACGCTTCCGCATGGATTCCAGCTTGCGGCGGATCTTGGCCTGCGGATCGGGGTGATCGAAATCAGTGAAATTGATTGGGTGTGAAAAGGTACACAGCTCACTATAGGAAAAAAACTCCAAAACAAGGGGAGCCCTGTACATCCACTTGGTATCAGTGATGCGGGCTTCATTTCCCGGATCATGCGGGGCAACTAAACAGAACCGAAGAAAACAAGGACGGGGTTGATCAGAGAATCAACGGCAACCGTCTGGCACGCACTTGACATACAATACAAATATATCCTCCAAAGACTGACAGTCAGAGTGAAACAAGGATGTGGTATGCTGTATTGCTTCAGAAAGGGCAAGTTGTCAAGGAGAACTGGTTGCATTTGTTGAATAAAGTTGAATAAAATACAATCAACTGTGCCAGCCGCCAGCCTCGTTGCAGCCCGACTCCACCCAAATGTCGATAAAGATTTGACTGATCTTCTGCCAGGCTTCTTCAACTGCTGCTGGTGTGTGTTGATAGAAGACTCCACCTCGTTTCGCCCCAAGACCACTGTACTGCAACCTGGACTGTTGCAGCTTTTGCCAAATCACCATTCCACTCTGCAGTCTGCTGATGGGATATGTGGGTGAACGAAGCCCACTGCCGGTCCAATGATGGACCGGAAAGTGGACTCGGAACGACAGCCTCGCCTCGCGAAGCAGCAAATCATGTTCCGACATGGAGGAGTCCAATGCTTCCGGAAGCTTCTCCCAGAGTGCCGGTGATTTCAAGATCCGTTGCTTCAAGGAGGTCAATGCCATGTGTACATCCACAGCTCGGGCCAAATCAGTCGTCCCCCCAGCGAAAAGCTCCAGGTTGTTGATGACCACAATGACACAGTAGAGCTTCACTCGTCCTGGTCTTCTTATGATGCCTTTGCTTGCTGTCTTTGGTGGCAACTTTGTCTCTTGTGGCACGTCCTCCAGAGCCAGGATTTCCTCCTCTGAGAAGGAGGTTTCTTCTTCAAATGCTGGGTTCGAGTGGTCACAGCTCTTGGTTTTGGACTCTTCTCGACACTCTTCTTTCTTCCTCCACGCTACATGCTGCAGCCAAGTCTCCAGCGCCACGCGATGTCGTTCTTGCAACTTGGTGGCAATGGCCATCTTCCGGTCATGTCGTTGCAGCTTGCTCAACAAGGAATGCAAGCGCTCCATGATGGCCTCCACGGATTTCCGCCGCACCGACCGAGAGCCGCCCAGGCCCGAAGCCACGCCCGCAGCGGCCCTTCCGCTACGCCCTTCGGCCCGCTTCGCGGAAGCCGCGAAGCAGCTGCCGCTGCCGCTGTGGGCCCCTCTCCGCGCCGCAGAAGCCGCCGCGACCGGTATGGCACGGGCACCAGTCGCTTCCAACGCGGCCTTTTCGAAGGCCAGCATCACTCGACGGAAGTCCTGGGCGGAACCTCCCTTGTCCGGATGCGTTTCGAGAACTTTGCGTTTGAAGGCAGCACGAACATCTGGGTAGGGCGCTGAGCGCGACACGCCAAGAATGAGATGCCAACTCATCAACAACAAACTCAACACGCCTCAAAACCGGCACTCACTCTGCTTCTTGCTCGGCACAGAACCCGAGATCGGGACCATGGCCAGGCCATGAGCGTCTTCGGCTATGTGAAGCTGTTCTGGAGAGTGACTAGTTGCATTTAGCAAGAAGTACTTCTACTATAAATGTATATATATATTAGTATTTCTACTATCTTATAATAAATTTACTATATAGTGGTCAATAGCTGGGAGACATCATTTGCTAGAGCTAAAAGGTTGCCGAACCCAGACAAACCCAACTCCGAGGCAATCAAACCGAACACTGTAGGAGCGGATGGATCACATATGAGATCACATCATCGAAGGCCATTCTTGTGCTGATCAATGTCGAACTGAACATGAAACATCATCCTTGACTTCGCTCTTTGACTTCGCTACCTTCCCCCTGAAGCTCCTGAAGCTCCATGCACATGTGGGAATTAAGGTCTTTGGCTGGGTGTATATGATAGAGTATGATTCTATGATGTCTTTGTGTGTGTTTTTCTTCATGTCCTTCTTCTAAAGCTCAGTCAGAAGGTCTGCAGGAGCGTCCAAGCGTCTGTGGTTCGGGTCCCTCAGCGACCCTGCATGACGAACATCCATGACGACCATCCATGACGACCATCCATGGTCATCATGCGCACACCTTATAACATGAATTAGAGGTTCATCAACCAGGAGGTTTATAAACGGTTTATATGTGTCTTCATATGTTTTCACGGGCGTTTAATTTTGCCCGAGAGACATCTGTAAAGCCGAAGGACAATTATTCTGAAATGCTACTGTATTATGTCATTGTGGATCAATCTGCCATGACCACATGGTGGTTGTACTTCCGAAGGCAATGCCTAATGTCTTCATGATCCTTCAGCACGTGATCACGTGCTCAATTGCTTCAAAGTTGGTGAACAAAACAGACTTCAGAATTTGTGAAACTCTAGTTTCACTTTCGATCTGGTGATCTCTGTCACTTGTAAGATCTTCCACACTCCCGGAAAGTGCCAGGACCGCAAGACATTCGCAACACACAGGTGACCTGCTGCATCTCCCTTGCTGGCAATGGGAATTAGAACGACCTGCAGGACAGGCCAGAGGTGAAGACGGGTGAAGTCCTTGTTTTTGGAGGAGGGCAGCTACAAGTAAACCTTTTGCCCTATTGGGTTTATCTTACAGTGGCTGATGATGGTTATAGTAAAGGCCTTTCTCTAAATCAATAGTGATGATAACTAATGACTGTTTACCGACTGTTACAGGTAATAGGACAGCCTCAAGCCCTACATTTCCCAGTTCATGTATGTCCATGTGAGGTGTGTGAAAAACCGTCGGCAGTTGGTCAAGGCCCGTCCAGTTGGACTCGACCTTATGGGGTTCAATGGATGTTCATCTCCCGTTGAAGCGACTTTGCAGTGCTGGTGCCCATGCCAAGCGCTTCGCGCGCTTCGCACCGCTTGGCACCTGCACCGGCGCCACTCTGGGAGGTAGCACCAGGCCTTTGTCGTCGCCATGCACCTGGGAAAGAAGTCCAGACATGCCCTGAATGCCCACAATAGTATATTATGGACATATGTCATATTGGGCCCTAGAAGACCCTCCTACCATGGGCTCTAGAATACTCTAGGTCATGGTAGGAGGGTCTTCTCAAGTCTTCTCCTTCATCCGTCAACCTCACGCTGCCTCATTGACTCCTCATCGTTCGCGCCGAAAAAGGGGTGACCACGCGTCCCGACCACCCTATACATCCATCGTCCTCGTCGCGTCCGCGTCGATGGTGGTCCAAGGCGCCATGATCATGATTCCCAGGGACCGAGTCGTCATGCCCCAGGAGCTCCTCGGGCGAAGCGTTCGCGCGCGAAGCGCGTAACTCGCGTCACTCACTCGTCGAGTACGCCGTACGCGCTCTTGGTGCTGGGCTGATGCACCAGTTGCCTCCGACCCGAGTCGTCCTCAAAGTGGATCCCGAACCTGGAGAACGTGCAAAAACGAGAGACCAGCGGCTCGTCACGTGTGTCCGGGGCGCATGTTCAGCTTCTGTGGTCGGAAACGATCTGTGCTTCAGATTTATTTATGTTTTAAAGATTTACCCCGTCTATCGCGCTCCTTCTTTCCTGAAACACACGCACGCACACACACAATAAAGTAAAACACAAGAACATGGCAGCCGGACATCTCGGCAAACTTCTGCCCCAAATGGTGGGACGTGGCTGCCTTGCAAACGGATCTGGGCCCTTGGACGCCCGAAAATGGACATAATGTTCATAGACTCATAGACCGCTTCAATCAATCTGAATATCCGTGAGATTAACGAATTCAAAGCAAACCAGGGAGACCACAGGACCCACAGCTCCACCAAAGAAGTGGCCTCTTCACACCGAAAACTTCATCGTTCTATGTTCATCCCGAGTCGCGGTGAACTCGAACAACGAGAACTCGAACTCGGGAACCGAGTCGCGGTTCGCTGCGCGGCCTGGATTCCGCGGCCGGTGGCTGGAATGAAGACTTCCAAGGTCTGGCTATGGAGACTTCCAGCAAACTTCTCCTCTGCAAGATCGCCGCAGGTCGGGTTCCAAAACACCTTGGGAACCGGAAGAAGAGCAAACCGCCAGACCTTGACCTTGGGACCTCACCCTGGTGGGCAGGTGTGTAATATATCGCCAGCCTCAGAAGAACAAAGTGACGCAAGTGATCAAGTGAAAAAGGTAGATGAACTCCCTGACTTTCATGGAAGGACTTCAAGGTGAGGTTCAAGGTCCGTGTGCCACCCGTCACTTTACCGTCCGTGGGCCGACCTAACGACAACGGTCTCGGTCCAACTCTGGACGAGTCTGGACTGGTCCTCTTCAGACTTCATTCCCTTAAGGACCGGCACTGCCAGCAGCTCAGTATACCTGCGAAGAAAAAAGCATTCATATAGAGCGGTGATAGCTTGGGACGACCGTGATAGCTCATCTGTGTCACGGTGTGGAAGGCTCATCTTGGGACTGTGAGAGCTCATTCAGCTTCTGGTCTTTGAGTGGAAAAGACCGATCAAAAGAACAACCCGACCTGTCCCAAAATCCGATTTCTTCATTTGTTGGAACATGTTGGAACCCTTCACTTGCAGAGCGGTCGTGACATGTTTGACATGTTTCGCTTTCAAGTACTTTCTATACATCAATTCGAGGATTATGCTTTGCACTTGAGCTTGAGGCCATCGCTCTTAGGTTGGAGGCCACCACTATTAGGTTGGGGTGGAGGCCATCGCTCTTAGGGTTCCATCTATACTATACCAGTACTCCCCCCTGTTCAGGCGCACGTTCGCTCATAGAGCTCCAACGCAGCATCCACCATCTCCTGCGCCTCCTCTGCTGTGGCATGGGCCGTGTGGCCTTCCTGCAACGAAATCAATGCGATCTTCATTGAGTCATCCACAAAGAGTTCCCGTCCAGTTGGGCCATCACAGGACCTGTGAGATCTGGTGTTCGGGTGTCCAGTGTTTGGTGTTCTGAACGCGAACGCAAACAGCTTGAGCTGCTTAGCAACCTACAGCCCATGAACAAAGCATCGCCAGCATCAGCGTCCAGGGAGATCGACAGTTGAAGCTGCAGCTTGCAAACCCATTACCGCACACATCGCAAGCACAAGCACTTTCATGTTTTTTCAAGCATTGATACCTCATTGTTTTCCAAGCAGCATCACCAGCATCATTCCTTGCGAACGCAGCTTGAGCTGAAGGTTTACAGCCCATCAAGAAGGCAGCAGTGTCAAGGGATATCGATAGTAGAAGCTGCAGCTTGCAAACCCATTGCATCGCGAGCACAAGCACGTTCCTTTTTTTTCAAGTATGGACATCTCATTTGTTCATTGCGCTTCCAATTCCATTGTTGTCATTTTGTTGTGTAGGTTGGCAACCTACAGGTTGTCCAAACAGCATCACTCCTTGCGAACGCAAACAGCTTGAGCTGCAGGTTAGCAACCCACAGCCCATCAAGAAGGCATCACCAGCATCAGCGTCAAGGGATATCGATAGTAGAAGCTGCCCATTGCATCGCGAGCACAAGCACGTTCCTCTTTTTTCAAGTATGGACATCTCATTTTTTCATTGCGCTTTCAATTCCATTGGTTGCCAACCGACAGGTTGTCCAAACAGCATCACCAGCATCACTCCTTGCAAACGCAAACAGCTTGAGCTGAAGGTTAGCAACCTACAGCCCATCAAGAAAGCATCACCAGCATCAGTGTCCAGGGAGATCGATAGTTGAAGCTGCAGCTTGCAAACACATTGCATTGCGAGCACAAGCACGTTCATCTTCTTTTAAGTTGCCAAAAGGAGCTTGGCTGGTATTCAATTGTTTGGTCCAAATAGTATCACCAGCATCATCGCTTGCGAACGCCAATGGCTTGCAGGTGGGCTACTTAGGTTGTTTTAACCTAAAATCCATCAAGAGAGCGGCGATTTTCAGCCAGACTCACGGCACTCGACGGTACATGGCCCCCACCTGCCACAAGAACTCTCGTGTGCGCAGGAAAGGCGTTGGTTGGCGAAATTCCCTCGGTGCACGGCATGGGTGTCCCAGCGCAAAGATCCGGGATGAACACGAGCACGGTGGCGATGGCTACCTCTTTGGGAGATAGCCCCTTCTTTCTCTTATACAGACTAAAGGAAATGGGGGGTGGGGACGACCCATACCTTAGATTCGATCAAATCCTCAATATGGGAGTCTGGGGGTGTTTGTCCAGATCTACCACTCCCAAAACCAAACGATCGTCAGACTCAAAAAACCGGGGCGGCAGGATCCAACGAGCTAAGAGAAGGTGCACCATCACCTCCCCTGAGTTTGGGAAAGTGAGAGGTGAATGGAGACGTTGCGAATCATAGGAAGTGTCTGTTTCATTTGCAACTATGCACTAGCTGAGAACTTGGAAGTCGTTCTCTCTTTGTAGGAAACCCAAGAGGGAAGTAAGGGTAGTCCAAAGATGTCAACATTTACATATAGCTTTGACTCAAAACATACGTTGCGGGGTTCCATGAAGGGGCCTCCAGTTGCCACCTTACTGTTTTTTTTGCATCATTAGATTGTTCATGACAGAAAACAGGACCCCGCCAACCGCAAAAGCTTGGCACCCTACCATCGCACGACATTCGCCCATTGATTCAATTTCCTCGGATTGGCCATGATTGGCCCACGATTTCAATGCTACCGTTGTCTTTGCAGATTTCCCCCAACCATAGTCCAGGATCATAGGAAATAGAATAATGATAAATACTGACATAGATGAAATCCCGCTCTTAGGTGAAGTTATTCAACATGGCCGTCCTAAAATGATGCAACACGGGCGGCAAGAGCAAGGGTGTTTGGCTCCTTCAGGTGGACCCATAAGGAATGTGACGGACTTCTGTCTACGCACATTCGACGGACGCAGGAGACAAGTCAAACAAGCTCTGTCTGGCTGATCGAATGTCCGACATGACTAACATGACGCTCTCTCTGAAGTTGAACACAAATCCCTGGCTTGCAAATCCAAATCTCTCCAAAGTCAGAACAAAATCTTCCATCCCCTTCACACAAAAGTATAAGAGCTGACTCCTACAGAATCGGCACAAAAAACGATGTCCCTATGCTGAAAAGATGCTTCAAACCTTTGTGATCCATTTACAGTCACTCGGATATTCTTTTTGGTGTTTTGTTGACTGTAGGCCGACCTCTCTCTGGATTTTCAAAACTCACGGCCCACTCGATCCGCCATCGGACCGCCCAGGCACAGTGGCAAATCTCGATGCGATCGGATCCACTTGGCGAAGAAGGGATACCTCCGGTGTTCGACGCCGTTCGACGTCGCGGTCAGACGGGTCCGGCCAGCGGGTCTCCGCAGGGGGTTACAATCGTTCATGATCAACACAACGTGTTGCGGTCGGCCGCATTCTTCGGACATGCGCGGTTTACCAACAAGCTTTCATAGAGTGACGCTGTTTGGCATGTGCAAACAGTTCGCCCATAGTTCGCCCATGTCAAGTGAAAGTCATTAAGAATCAGAAATTTGAGAACACAAGTTCCGCTATTTACTCAAGTGTCGGGTGTTACCCATGTCAAGTTGACTTGTGCTATCTACTCAGCTTAGTCATGTGTCTTCTTCGCCCCCTGCAGTGGGCTCCATCATGGCTATCGTTGAGACAGTGAGCTACAAGTTCCAGGGAAACAATTGGCAGTTAAAAATTCCAATGATGGATATCAGGATATCCTTCAAGCTCGGGTTGTTGTGATGAGGTGAGGTAGTTGTGCAAACTCAAACTCGCGGCTATACCAGTCAAGGCTTTGTTTCAGCTCAGCCCACGGCATGATGGTCTCGCTGGTGGGCCGCAAAGCAATCTACAGTCACAAGAAGTGGAACAACTCTGCAAGCTCTGGACTGCAAACCACAGAAATGTTACAACTTGGGGGTGTCCACTACTCTCTGGATTTCATCGAACTGACCAAATGTACTTCTTCCATGATATGTCCTTCCCTCCGATTGATCTTTTGGATGTCTGTCCAAGTAATTCTCATCAACGGAGCAGCTATCATCATCATCATCATCATCATCATCAGTTTATTGCACACCCTTTACATGTTGTTAGGACTTGTTCTTGAGCGACTGGACTCGTCCCCCGTTGTTCCCATCTCCGAGTCCCCCCGGCGGGCTTCGCCAGCTGCGACTCGCCCGAGCGCGTCACCCAGGCCACCTGCGCCGATCAAGACATGCATGATCAAACAGCAAACCCCTCCCCTTCCCCCCCAAAAAAAACAACCACAACAACCATGACCGCTTCGGAATTGACCAAAACAAGTGCCGACGGCGTCTCCAAAAACAAAGAAAACCAAGCGTCACCAACCGTCGGTTCGGTCCTCCGTCTTTGCACCTCAGGAGCGAAGCCTTCGAGGTGGCTTTTCTCCACTTCCAACATCTCCTGGAGTGCCAGAGGAAGGGCATGGCTCGAGCGGCTCGAGCGGAGACTGACGAAAGCGGGACACAGGAGCGCGGAGGAGCGTTCGGTGTTTTGGGGGTTTCAATGTTTGGAGCTCGTTGTGTCTTCTTGTTTGGCGCTCGGGCTTTCTGTTCCTCCAAAATCTGGATCTTCCAATCTTCTGAGATCCAACGAGATTGGTCGAGCGGCCTGTTGGGGGGAGCGACTGGATTCTTCGATCGAGCGACTGTTCTTACAAGATGTTGAGCCAATGGTCCGTTCACGGTCCCAGTATGGACAGGACATGCGTTTTGTGGAGGGTGAGAAACCCGTGTTGTAGGTCTGATGGTTTTTGTGCAACATCTGCATGGTATCAGGGCCAAGTGCAAGTCACGAAACAAATAAAAACCTTTACTCTTATCAAAGCCTAATCGTTATGCCTTTGGCATCCCCGGGTGAGCTCTTTGTACTTGGACCAGCGAGGATAATGATTGGTTGGTCCACTGGATGGTGGATATTCTGAAAATGAATGTGCACCCAACTCAAAACAAACGTGCAAAAGGCT